TAATGATTCTGCTTCTAGGACTTTATCCTGGGGAAGTAATAATGGATACACAAAGAATATTCTACAAAGTTTTTCATAGTAGTGAAATTTGGAAGCAACCTAAATACCCAACAATTTGAGATTGGTTAATAAATAAAAAAGTCCATCTGTCGGAGAGAATATTATGCCCTTACAATGAGGTAGAAAAGAAATATGCCTAATTTTTCTGCATCTGTGATATCCACATGTTCTATATACTCTTATTAGTGACTTCCCTCAATAGGGCAAAAGAGAGGAGATGTAAAGGTGTGTATATTCTTTGGAGAATGAAAAGGCTGTACATCCATTGGATTGCAGAGGAGACAGTCCAGGAACCAGGGTGACTGAGTGGTATGGAAGAGGCGAGAAGCGGGGCGGCTGAGTGCCTCAGCATCCGGATGCGTGTCCTGGAGTTCTAGCAGAATGGCGTTGTTGCTGTGCCACTGGAGGCATTGAGATGTCAGTGGGTGCCCAGTGTGAAGGCCAAATGGGAATTACCTATTCTTGTCCATATGTTTGACTTTCAAAAGTACAGATGAGACTGTAAGACCTATAGAATAGACAGGATTTTTTCTTAAAGGAATAAAGTAAATTGAGCATGTTTGAAAAGCATGATGCCAGGTACTTTATACCCATGATCACATTGAACCCTTAAGAAAACCCAAAGATGGAGCCATTTCTTTTTCCACTTTTGAGATGAAGCCATGGATGCTTGTAGAGTTTATCTGCTCATCACAGAGCTAGCAAATTTCGGAACCAGGATTTGAGTTTTGACTCCTAATCTAACCACAAGGCCCGGGAGTAAAAAGCAAATCTAACCACAATGTCGGGGAGTAAAAAGGGCCGAAGAAACAGTGTAGCATACTGAAATCAGAGGAGAGAACCCCATGAAAGGGATGAGAAGTTCCAGCCTCAGATCAGAAATTCCATAAAGGAGGAACCCTGTCTAATTTTGCTGTGCAGCATGTCACAGTCACGGCCGATACGACCAAGGAGGGAGCGGTTTGTGTTTGGTACGTGTGATGACAGAGCTGCCCACCCGCAGAGCTGGTTCATCGCCGACCCTCCGAAAATTCCTTTGGTCGTGTAGTCATTCAGAGTCCACGGGATCTGAGAATCACTTCATGCTCTCTGCATGCCCTGACCTATCTGTCTGGTGGCCGTACACCTCAGAATTAAACTGAGTCTCTCCTTTGTCATGTTCTGTAATGCTTGTAAGTCAAAGTTTGTGGAACATTTTGCAGGCTCGTGACAGGAGAGCTCAGTTGTTATACTGCAGTAATTTGTTTTCCTCAGTCCAGTCCATTTCCACAAACAGCCATCGATCCACCATCCACTCAATTTATTCATTCACTCATTAGACATTTAATGCATGTTTCTTCTGTTAGAGGCCTCAGTGCCAAGGATATCAAGATTAAAAGACAAACATCTCTAGGGGCAGGATGGTAATTGAAGAGCAGGCAGGGCTGTGGAAGGATTGAATTTTTTTTTAATTATTTTTCAACTACAGTATTCTGTCTTTTACTCCCATCACAGCCCCCCCCCGTTCGGGTTGACTATTCTTAAAGATGAGAAACATTTGAGGGTGTGTGTCCGCTGAGTAAGAGCAGTGAAGAGCAGAGTGAAGGGAAGGGGGAAACCAAGCCCAAGGTGAGATAGGAAAAGGATGCAGCCTTCCGATGCTGAGAAGAGACCTGGCAGCTGGTGCCTGATGGGTAGAAAGACACCTGCAGGAGGTCACTGCAGGTGAGTGGCTGCCATCTCCCCTGTGACGAAGAAGGCAAGGTCGCTCACAGAGCCGGCTGCTCTGGGAGATAGGTGTGGAGTCTGTAGGTTCAGAACAGCTCCCTGATGGGTTAGTAATGGCCCTCAAGGAGGCAGCTGAGCATCACGGCCATCCTAACTGTGGCAGGAGTGCAACTTTCTAATAAGGTCAGTTAACAGAATTATGTGGTTTCTTCATCCAAGCACCCAATTGTTAACATACCCATTCTGCCCCTGGAGAAGCTCCTCTGAGTTTTCTACTCTTCTGACTAGAAGGACGTTTGCCCACAAGAGCTAAAATCCTTGAGTCTGAGCTTTTCCACCCTAATTGAAAGTATTCCTAACTCCTATAGAGGACACAAAAGGCACAGTCATGGATCCTGCATATGACCAGCTAGTGAGACAGTCTGGGTGGCCCGTTGCACAGAGTTGGGGCGAGTTGTCATCTCTGAATGAGAAGTCAGTGTGTCTGTTCTGCTCAGAGCACCTGCCACCTCCACCGCGCAGTGATTTAGGTTTTAGCCTAACAAGTTTTCCCTAGTTCGTGGCTCCTCTGTCAGGATTGTCACTGGCAAATAACAGAAATGAGCTCTAATCTAAGCAGCTAAGGAGTTCGTCAGAAGAACGTTAGAGAGCTCACAGGTTCTCCTGAAGAATTGGGCAGACAAGCCTGGAGATGCGGTAGCCAGAAGCAGTGCCCCAAATCCCGCTGCAGAGCCAGTGTGGGAGAGAAAGCGTGGTCACTAGCCCGGGCCCAGAGACACTGCCGGACCACAGACCCACAGTGGTCCCCAGAAGCTCTTGGGGACCGAAACCTCTACTGTCTCTGGAACTGGCATTTGCTCTCTCAACCACCAGAATGGTTTCTGCTTGGCCATACGTCTTTGCATTGCTAGCTTCTGATGCACAGTGCAGAGTGGGTGGTCTGACGAGTACGGCCAACTCATGTGCCAGTTACGGAACCTCACAGGAGACAAGAACAGGAGCGTCCGAGTATTTATCTGTCGTGGATGTGGGCTCTGGTAGGAGTCGAAACGTGGGGTGGCCGTGAAGAGTGACAGATGTCCATTTCAGTGCCATGAAACACATGAATCGATGTTCTCGTCCTGCATTGGGAGCCTCCAAGATCACTAGGCACAGTTTCTCTGTAGTTCCTCCTCAGTAGACTATTTTAAATTCTTCTTTGAATCGTCAGCACTTTGTAGCATGCTCTCAGACAATGTTTGAAAAATGAATCGATATCTTGCTGAGTATATTCTTTCAACAACTGTGCATGGGGTGTGTACTCCGTGCCAACTGTGTTGGACATTACTTGCAGGATCTGCAGTGCTTGTACACAATAGCAAAGAAAGAAGCAATCTGGAACTAGGAGTGGGCTACTATGCAAGGATCAAAATAGGATTAGGATCCAGTGAAGAAATACCGCCTAGGTATGGAGCAGGATGCGTCTGAATCAACTTTCCAAACTGAGGTTGGGGACATGGTGGACCAGAGGTGGAAACCTGGGCAGGGTGGATTGCAGAGATGCCAGGGGTGGGAGGCTGGTGTGGTGGACAGTCACTTGCTGGGAACAGAGTGCGAAAGCTGCACCTCGAGCTCTCACTGTCACGGGACTGGCATCTCTAGGCAAGTTGCTTACTTATTGATAGGGGAGCTGTAGTACGTGCTGGTTTTTCTCTAAGTGGCTATTGTATGCTCAAATCATAGCAAGCAATTAAATCCGTTATATTTGCAAAGCTCTGGTACAGCATGTGACGTGTTGTAAGGACTGTATAACCATTTATTAAATATAAAAATAAAGCACTGTTCCGCTTCTGATAATTCCATGAAAGGTTAGGCATTCCATTTGGACTCACATTTGGCCAAATGCCAGGTGCACTTTCCACCTTCTGCTGTCAGTCTTTTTCACGCAGTATCTGCTTTACCATCCTTAGGTGCTTTGCATGTCTAGGCACTGCCTGTAGCACAGCTGGCAAGGCGTGCTGGTGTGCCCTGGGCCACGTGGCCTGACCACCAGGCCCACTGAGCCCACCTTGGTCTGGGCTCAGTCATTTTTCTCTGTCTTAGCAGCTAAAGTTAAAAACAATTTTTAATCTATATTTTTCAGTTTTCCCCAGTGCAAGAATTGGTCCAGTTCACCTCCTGTGATTACTAGAGACACAAGGTCTCATTCATATGCTTTCTGTGGTTTAAATCATATTAAACCACACGAGAACCTCAGAAGAAAACTGGTGAGGTTTTCTCCACTGCACAGATGGGAAGAATGAGGCAAGAGAGTAGTTTGTTTCCTGCCGAGGGTCAGGGAGCTGCCAGGTCACGGCCACAGAACTGGAGCCCCGGCCGTCTGCGTTCAGAGCTCTGTGCACTTGACCCCAGTGTGCACCCGTTTTCTCCCGCCCATGAGCCAGTGTTACTGCTTCATCACCAAGAGCATTCTTTTAAAAAATCAAACAGGTCTCCACCTTTGTCTGCTTCCCTTACAACTTAGGACACAGTTGGCTAAAACTCTAGCCAAATACATAATTTAATGTCAATAAATACAGTACTGTATTCTCTGTCTTTTCAAATGGCCATGTAACGTGGACAGATATATTATTAATGAATTGTTCTCTATTTTTGTAGACTTAGATGTTTTTTACAGCTTCAAAAACATTTCACTCTTGCAGACAGAAAAATTCCTTTGTTTTGCCAAAATTTTCTGTGTTGTTTTATTGAATTTGGTCGAGGCATGCAGAGATGAAATACACGTGTCCAGACTGAACCATCTGAATGTCTAGTATGGAAATAAGATTTAAAAAATTTAGAATGTCAGCTCTGGGCTATAACGGGTATGCGACATCAGTGGATGGTGCTAAAAAATGTGTGTGTAACTTCCTATAAGCCAAAAAAAAAAAAAAGCCCTTGCAATTGTGCCCAAATTAGAGGTGTGTGTGTATCTCAAGTGGCTGAAACCCCACGGGGATGCCCAAAGGCTTTCCAGAGTGAAATGGCTAAGACAGGAATCCAGGTGTGCTCTGCCGCACACACTCGAGGAATGTCACCCACTGGTCGCCGACAGCCAGGGCACCTCCACTGCTTCTGTGCCATTTTGAGCAAATGTCTCCATCAGGTTCAAACTGGTTTGTTGTTTCTATTTTCTTCGGTCAGGGGCGGGGCCAATAACCTTTTCTGCCTTTAGTAAAACTAAAGGCCTAACATTTTTCGATTTCTTTTGACAGAGAAAAAGACAAGCCTATGAATCTAACCTCATCCATGACGGCCTGCAGCTGGAAGCAACAAGATCGGTGAGTGGCCGTCCCTTTCCAACCCCTGGCTGACCGTGGCTCTTGGGAACCTGCGTGCCACTGGGAATGCTGGGGTGGCAGAGCAGCCCCAGCTGCGCCTCCGCTGTAGGCCGGGGGGGGGGGGGGTCAGTCATAATCTGGACTACGGGATGTGTTTGCTCCTGATCGAGGCCGACCAATGAAGCAGTAGACCATGTTCTTCTCCTAAGAATCTTTCTAAAGATTTCTCGTATTACATAAGTAATAGTTTACTAAAAAATAGAAACTGTGGGTGTAGTGAAAATAAAAATGATGTGTCATAATTATCTGTGAATAAACTGGTAGTCCTTCTAAACTTTTTGCTCAAATTTATACATTTTCTCTTCCCTAAAAAAGGGAAAGTTATTATATCATAGGGATTTAATTTACTTTTTCCCTTTAATATATCATAAATGCATTTCTATATTAATAAACGTTCTTTTACATCCTTTATAATGACTACATAACATGATATTGAACAGATAGATAATAAATAGCCCTGAGTTTAAGAAATTTAAAAATTATTATTACAGTAACATTGCAATGAATATTCTGGTGTTTTTATTTTTACTCACTAATTTGGATGAAATGATGGGCAAGCTAACAAATTTACTTTCCTTCATTTAAAATATTAGTAATTTTATGACAGAATTGGGATAAAAACTTAAATTACTTTCTTTGTAATTCCAACCAAGATATAATCTGTAATGCAAAGAGTTTACAGTGGTTCGCAAGTCTATTTTTTATTGTATCTTCACTTTTATTAGCATCTGTGTGTGTGTTCATGTACACATGTGTTTTAACTACCAACAATTTAAGAAAAATCTGTGCTTTAAAATTGTGAAAATGGTTGGTTTGGTTTCCTTGACTGTGTTTTCATTCTTCCAATACAGGTTTTAGACGACAGGCTTGTGTTTGTGAAGGTGCACGCCCCCTGGGAGGTGTTATGTACATACGCCGAGATAATGCACATCAAACTGCCTCTGAAACCCAGCGATCTGAAAACCCGGACTTCAGCCTTCGGGAATTTCAACTGGTTTACGAAAGTCCTCCAAGTGGACGAGAGTATCATCAAGCCAGAGCAAGAGTTTTTCACTGCCCCATTTGAGAAGAACCGGATGAATGATTTTTATATTCATGATCAAGATACCTTCTTTAATCCAGCTACCAGAAGCCGCATTGTAAGTCTAAATGAAATTCAGTGGCTGTCTTGGGGTGATTTGCAACCTGCTATTGAAAAATTACTGGTTTGGTTGGATTGGCTTAGTTTTGATTTTAGAAGCTGCTGCCCACAGAAGAGAAAACAGATGCACCTACAGATTCCTGTTACAATAGTAAACAATGATTGGTTAGTTACACTGTATAAACTACATACTCTATTTTGGAATCCTTTTAGGTTTACTTCATCCTCTCTCGGGTCAAGTATCAAGTGAGGGACAACGTCAAAAAGTTTGGGATTAACAGACTTGTCAACTCCGGGATCTACAAGGCAGCTTTCCCTCTCCATGATGTAAGTCAAATAGCAAAAATGAAGTAAAAGGCCTAATGCATACTCCAGTGTTAACAGGGAAGAGCTAATCTTGTTAACCTCACTTAAAGTTCTTTTTTGGTAAAACAAAGATAATATGTTGAAAGATTACAAGCTTTATCCAGAATAGGAACCAGGTTGCATTGTTCACTGCTAAATCTAATGTAGCGAGACAGCCCTCAGTTTGAATGAGTGAATGAATGAACTAACAGTCATAAGCACTCTCATAGTTAATGTGTTAAGCAGTGTAGATCAGTAGTTAAGAACATGGGCTCCAGGGCCAAATGCCTGCTCCATCATTTTCTAGTTGATGACCTTGTGAAAGTCATTTAGTCTCTTTTCCTCAATTTCTTCACCAATAAAATGGGAATAATAATAGTTCCTACTAAGGCATTGCAACGTAGATTAATTAATCCATGTCAAATGTTAGAACACTGCCTGGCATGTAGTAAGTACTAGGTATGTATTAGCTATTTTTATAATTACCAACAGATGTCATCAACCAGAAAAGTATTAGTTCTCTGTAACCAAAAATAACATGTTAGAACTTTTCATTTATCATTTTCCGTGACATAGGTTTTTTTAATTTCCCGCTGAAACACCATTTCAAATTGGGCCCTGGAACATCACAGGACTTTTTAAAAGGCACCTGTCGGGGTTCCTGTCGTAATGGCAGTGTGGCAGGGTGCTGACGTTTTGTAAGGACTGCATTCTGAGGTGGTGGCAACTCCTCAAATTCAAGAGCACTTCTAGCTGATAACATCTCACATGAAACAATTTCTCAGTGTCACTGCTTCAGACCTTTAGTGATTCCATACACACAAGGAAATAATATCTGAGCGCTTTAAATAAATTCTGCCATTGAAATAAGTGAACTACTGTATCATATTGTACTGGTACTTTGTTGTATTCACCATCAATTTTTCTGAGTTTCTAAGACCAAAGAAAGCAAACACTGAGACTGTAACTGCTACTGTGCAGTATATGTATTTGTGGATGAAGGCAGTATTGAAATGTACAGCATGAGATAATACAACTGGGGTGCTGAACAGCTACCTGATATTCACGCACACATAGAAAACGGGAGGAGGGTAGAGAGGCAGGCACTGAGCTTCCTGGCTAAGAGACCCAACACAGCAGCCCACCATGTGTTGTGTGTTGGTGCCCCAGCAGAATTAGCAGTAGCGGCATCACGTCAGCTTTGGGGACACTTGCAGAGAGCCCGCATAAACATAACCTGGGATGCCAAGGTTCTGTAGTTTTCGGTTAGTGTCTGGCCGTGCCCAGTTATTTTGTTTTTAAAGCCTCGTGTAGTTGCCAAGGTGCCCTATCCAGGCCGAGGAATGACCTCAGGTAGCATTTAGGAGGGAGGGGAGCGGAGGTCAGGACCAGTGTGGAGGCTCAGCTGGGTGGTAATCAGGCTCTAGTTGCAGGGAGAAGGAAAACCAGTCAGGTGGGGGGAAGAGTGACTGAATTGAAGCAGTGGCAGGGGCTTTTGTTCCTTGAATAAAGTATATATAACATGGCCTCAAGCTTTTTTGTTATTTGTATTCTACGTGCTGTCGCTGAATAACTGTTGAATTGGGGGAAAAGAAATCTGGGTTTTAGAAGCCTTGCATCTTGCATCCTCTGGGTGTCCAGGGCATGGGCTGTGCTATCAGGTGTCTCCGTGGTGGCAGCTTTGGCACTTGAGTGGCCCAGTTTTTCACTGTTTAGGACTGACCCCTGGTGGGACATCAGCATCTCCCAGGGTCCCACCAAGCACTGCTGCATCCCCAGGGTTGGGACAGCCCCGCGTTCCTCCCCACCCACATTTGCAAATGCCTCCCGCCCTGGGGTTAGTAATGCCCATGGTTGAGAATCAGTGAAAATTACATGGCATTTCCATCCGCTTTAGCAAATAAGGTCCCCTTATTCACAAATGAGGTGGAGTATTAGCACCTCATTTAACAGACAGATTTGTGAACGGGTGAGGACTGCAATGCTCACCTGTTTGATTTTTTTTCCCCAGTGCAACTTCAGCCATCCATCGGCGGACTCCAGCTGCCCGAACGAACGGTATCTTCTGTACAGAGAGTGGGCTCATCCCCGAAGCATATATAAGAAGCAGCCCTTGGATCTTATCAGGTAAGGCAGCGATTTTCAACTGGCGTGCCATAAGAATTTTTAAACATGCAGTACCTGACTGACTGTTCAGTCAGGGGCACTGACCTATTTTCCCTTAGATTGTCAAATTTTAAAAAAATGACAACAGCCAACACAACAAAACCATCCATTGCGATGGAACTGGAGAGCATTATGCTGAGCAAAATAAGCCAGGTGGTGAAAGACAAATACCATATGATCTCACCTTTAACAGGAATCTAATCAACAGAACAAACAAGCAAAATAGAACCAAAGACACTGAAATAGAGAACAGGCTGACAGTGACCAGAGTGGAGAGGGGAGGGAATTTCAGGGGAAGGGGAGAAGGGTTTACAGGAACAAGTATAAAGGACACATGGACAGTAACAAGGCAGGGTGGACACGAGGGAGGAAGGCAGGCAGTGCTAGGGGGGTGGGCTGGGGGTAAAAGGCAGAAAACTACTTGAACAACAATTAAAATGGAAAAGAAAAGAAAAAGAAAAACCATCCCTTGTGAATGCCCTTTCTTGAACCATAAATATTACATAGGCCATATAACAGAGCTGCATTATTGGTCATGTGGCATAATAATGTTGCATCTGATTAATTCTTGGTACCAGAAATCCTTATACACAAGTATAGGCACCTGATTTTTTTAAAGAAGTCACTTTGGAGTAAAAAGAGTAAATAATTACTATTATTACTTTCTTTTTGTAAAGCAATCAAAATTATAGCTCTTTTTGTCAGATCAGCAGAAAATGTAGTGTTTTTTTGGTGTGCTGCAGAATTTCAGTAATTCCTCTGTGTATGCCAGGACGTGGCAAAGGTTGGCAGTGGCTGAAGTAAGGTGCTGGGGCCTCAGGGTCACCCTCAGGGCATCAGAGCGGGACAGTACTCAGAGCACTGCCAACCAGGCAAGCGCACCTGGGCCTCTGAGCTTTGCTGTGCAGAGTTTTTACTAAGGTTTCCATACGTGGGCACGCTCAATCGAGCCATTACCCATATGGCTCAATCCCTAGCTCTCTCTCCCCCCCGGGAGCTGAACCAGAAAGCCCCAGTCTTCTGCTCACATGGTTGGTCTTGGGCAGATGGCCAGCACGCTTCCTGAGTCAGGTCATTCTCGCAAACTCTCCGCAGGGCCACTGTGAATAACAAAGATACTCCTGTCTCAGAAACTTCCAAGGGTTTAGAAGTGGCCTCCTAGGAACTGGGAGTAAAGACCCACCAATGTTGTTAGATACCGTTTTTACTTTATCACATAAGTATAATGTCTAGCTCAACATCTGTCTTCTCCAAGCACCATTTATTATCTGATCTCCAGAAGTTTATGTCGCTTGGGAAAGGCTGCTGGAAAGAGATAAACCAAAACCAAACAAACAACGCAATTTCCGGTAGAAATGAAGAAAACAACAGTGATGAGACGGGGATAGTGTAGAAGGGAATAAAGTTATCTTTAAGTAAATGGCATTCGAGTTGAGACCCAGACAGTAAAAAGGACCCAGTACTTTGAAGAATTAGAAGAAGTCACTCCGGGTCCATGGGGAGCTGGCACAGTGGCCCTGGGCGCAAACACACTCGTCAGGTGTGAGGAAATACCAAGGCCAGCACCAGTGAGGAGGAGAACAATCAGAAGCATGTTCTCAGGGCGGCAGGCGCACGGAAGGGGTTCAGACTGAGTGCTGCTGTGGTGTTTTAAGCACTCAAGTCATTTTATCTCAGCCACATTTTGCAGAGATAGCGAGGAGAAAGAGAGACTGGAGAGGAGCGTAACGTAGGCCCGGCGAGCGATCTGCGAACAAAGTTAAAACGTATTTTAGGAGTAGAGTTGACAGGACCTGGTGATAGATTGGATGTGGAGGTGAGGAGAAGAGGAGAGTCTCACAGTGTAACCCTGAACAGTTGTTCTTTTGTTTTATTTTACATTTTGTTACGAGAAATTTCAGTCATAAAGATGTAGCAGAGTGCAGCAACCTTGCATGTCCCCATCACCCAGCTGCAAAGATGTCGAACCTCAGAGCAAGTCTCCTTCCTCTTCACCTCCACCACCTCCCCCTCCCCCACAGGATCACTTCGAAGAAAATTCCAAGTATCATATCGTTTCATAAGTAACATGGGGAGATCTCTTTTAAACATAACCAGAGCACTCTTTAATCAGTGTTCACATTTCCCTGATTGTCAGAAAAAATGCTTCATAGTTTTTTGGTTCAGAAAAAAACTATTTTGGTTCTACCGACCAATACTGAGAGTGACCTGAAACAGTCTAGAAAGTAACGACGCAACGATTACTTAAATAGAATTTTCATTTTTTTCCCCTATCCCTAAACCTTAGTAGTTTTTGTCTGCCCAGCTGTACTCACCTCCCTTTCAGGAACAGTCTCCCAGCTTTGCCTCTTCCAGTCTGGCCTACCCGGTCCCTTCTGTTCTGCCCCAGAGCACACCACTGAGCTTCTCAGACTCAGGGGGACCGAAGTGCTAGAAGGGAGGACTGCAGCCCGGCGCTGGATTCCTCAGCCCTCTCCACCCTGACCGCTCCCTCTCTCACAATGAGCTTTATAAATATTTTGATCAGAGGCACATTCCACTACCAATTATTATTTATATCAGTCATTGTTATTATTTGTGATTTACATTTCCTTTGGTCCAAGGAAATACCCTAGAGAAGTGAAAACAGGTAACTGTGAGCAGGTTGTTTATGTTCATTTGTTTCATGCATATTAAGAATCATCTTTCAGAGAAAATGTGTCAAATGTGCTGGTCTTTACAAGGAGTGATAGCAACTCTCTCTCACTCTCTCACTCTCTCTCTCTCTCTCTCTGCCTGCTTCATACACAGCATTTCCCTTTCCATCACTCCCTCCTGATTTACTTTGCTCTAACAGGCTAACCAGTGACTGGTACTTCCATGTTATGTAAACTACTTTCTGGTGTGGAATGGAAATCTGGGTCTGCTATGAGCACGAGTAGGTTTTAGTGTAAATTGAGTCCGAGTTGAAGCTCAAAGGCTTCTCTATTTAAAACCAGAACTTAATATTCAGATGACGCTGCAGAGTGATTATTGGTGTCTTCTAAAAATAATTTCTGTCTGTCTTCAGGAAATACTATGGAGAGAAGATCGGAATCTATTTTGCTTGGCTGGGCTACTACACCCAGATGCTCCTCCTGGCGGCAGTAGTGGGCGTGGCTTGCTTCCTCTACGGCTTCATTAATCGAAATAACTGCACGTGGAGGTAACCCCTGCTTTTTTTCCCCTTATTGCCACACCGAAAGTCGATGAGACATGAAATTATTCTCCGGGTCTTAGGCTATTTTACTAAAAGAAGACTCATCGCAGCCCACGTACTGCTCTGGACGATGCATCCCCTCTGGTTGGAGTATATTAAGTGGAGTAGAAAATTTTCTTCTTAGATAATGCAGCCCAGTCTCTCTGACAGGATTATTATCCTTAGGAAACACTTCAATATTTTTTTTTAATTTTATTTATTTATCTTTAGAGGGGAAGGAGAGAGGGAGAGAAGAAACATCAATGTATGGTTGCCTCTAGTGCATCCCCTGCAGGGAACTGGCCTGCAGGGAACCTGCCTGCAACCCAGGCATGTGCCCTGACTGGGAATCGAACTGCAATCCTCTGGTTCACAGGCCCGTGCTCAATCCACTGAGCTACACCAGCCAGGGCTCACTTCAATATTTTAAGATAATACTTTGTTTGAAAAAGAGCTGAGGTCTAGAGGGAGGATCGTCCTTGAACTTCTGGCCTCCAGAGGAGTGCTTTACTTAGCTCGACAGATGTGGGCCAGGAGCAGCTATAATTTCTTCCAAGTTTCAGTGGCAAAAACTGGTCAAATTGGTGTTTTTATGCATCTAGAAATGATTTCTTAATGTGTATTAAGAAATACAGGTTTAAGAACTTCAGTAAACAATACTTTCATTTTTGCTTTACTTTAATAAAGTTAGCCCTCACAGAGTGAGAGGGAAAAATAAGCAGTAGAGAATTAGTTTGTGCTGGATGTTGGACTTCAGATACTTGCCGCACCAGCTGGAGAGAAGTCCGTGGCTGCCAGAACGAGGAGCTTCACTGTCGAGGCTCGGAACTGGGTTGTTTCGGCTCTTCCGTGGCTGCGGCCTCGTTCCTGCAGCGTCGGTTCTCACTCTGCCGACTTGCCGGGCCAGCTCTCGCACGAGTCAGCTTTTGTCCATGTAGACGTCACCTCCGAACTCTATTTTGTTATCTCGGTCAGTTTTTCTCAACCTGTGCCCACAGCACCTTGTTTTTTTTAGAGGTGCCTTGAATGTTCTAAGCCCTTTGGTCTTCTGATTGAATTTACAGCTCAGTTGGGAGAGAAATGACATCTTTAGATATTGATTCTCCTACGTTATGAGCATGATAACTTAACCGCTTACATAGGATTCACTGTGTGTATTTCACTCTTTCAACGTTTTTATAATTTCCTTTATATAAATCTTATACCTCGAGTTAGATGTATTCTTTGGCTCTTTATATCTTTTAAGCTATTAAAAAATGGTATTTTAAAAAATTAATTCCTAATTGTTGTAGGTTGGTAGGGATCCAGTTCCTTTTGTGACACTCAGTATATTTTGTGCATTAATTTTATGTCCTGCAAACTTATTCTCGTAATTTATCTGCAGGTTCTATTGAGTTGCTTATATTGCTTATGTAGGCAATCATGTAATCTGTTAGATTAACAGTTTTTTTCCCTTCCTTACTCATCCTCCCATCTCGGTTTTTCCTGACTTGCTGCACTGTGAGTGACCTCCGCTGAGGACTCATAGGAAGGCCCATCGTTTCGTTCCGGATCTAAGGAAATACTTCGGCATTTTACCATTAAGTACAGTTTTTTATAGGCTTTCTGTAGCAAGCCTTTATCAGCCAGGTTGATGAAGTACATTTCCATTCCTAGTCTTATAAGAATTTAGTTTTGTTTTGTCTTCATATGATAAATGGATGTTGGATTTTGTCATCCTGCTAGTAAGTCCTATTCATTAAATGTTTACAATTAAATTAAAATTTTCTTTTTTCTCTAGCAAAGAAGTTTGTGACCCTAACATTGGTGGCAAGATCATAATGTGTCCTCAGTGTAACATTTGTCCGTTCTGGGAACTCAGTATTACTTGCGAGTCCTCACAGGTAATTTTTGTTTTTCCAAGTAATGAAAGATATTTTTTCTTCTGATAATTTTAGTACAACATAGAAATTATATTTTCTCTCTGAGGAGTTCAGAAAGGTAATTTTGCACTAACCCTTCACTGTGAAAGGTAGACATGGAATGCACATGTTTATTCTCCTTTTACAGATAATAATTTGAGATTCAAAGCCTTATCTGAACATCTCCCAGCGAGTCAGGGAGGAACTGTGGAATTGAAACCATTTGAGTGTTTCCAGTAATCAAAGCAGAAATCTCAAACTCAGCTTATCTCGTAAATACTATTTGATAGGTTTACTATTACAAGTATTTTTTCTTCATTCTAGTGAGTGGGAACCTGAAATTCATGCTTGTGTTTTTCCAGTTTTAAAATGGGCTGAAACTATGTTTGAGTTTTTTTAAGGCTGCTGGTCAGATTTAGACGGTCTCTGTAAAATGCATGAAAAAGCTTTTGTGTACAGTGTAAATGACAACAGATACTCACTTTGTCTCAAAACATTCCCACCAAACACGTCTGGTTCAGGGGAACCAGGCAGATGGCAGAGCCTGCTGACAGGCACGCCAGGAGCTCTATGACATCTCGAAGTCCAGGAGATGTAGGCTGGGCTCGGGGACTGAGTGGAGCCTGCCGACAGGCACGCCAGGAGGTCTGTGACATCTCGAAGTCCAGGAAATGTAGGCTGGGCTCGGGGACTGAGTGGAGCCTGCTGACAGGCACGCCAGGAGCTCTATGACATCTCGAAGTCCAGGAGATGTAGGCTGGGCTCGGGGACTGAGTGGAGCCTGCTGGCAGGCACGCCAGGAGGTCTATGACATCTCGAAGTCCAGGAGATGTAGGCTGGGCTCGGGGACTGAGTGGAGCCTGCTGGCAGGCACGCCAGGAGGTCTGTGACATCTCGAAGTCCAGGAGATGTAGGCTGGGCTCGGGGACTGAGTGGAGCCTGCTGGCAGGCACGCCAGGATCTGCAGCTAGGAAGAAGAAGGCCCAGCATGCCGTGCGGAGTTTTCCTGGCAGCACTGACGTGCTCTCTCCCTCCTGTGAGAGGGTCGTGTGAGATCCTTCCTCTCTTCCCTTGTCCTGCCACGGAAGTTTAGGGACCCTTGCGTGACCACAGAACACTTTGACTCCTCCGCATAAGTCTTGTTTTAACTGAATGCAGTACCACTCTAGTGATGTCACTTTATCTTGTGGACTTTGCACAGTCTTCTGCTTATCACTGTTGGCACACACAACAACTCTGTGAGACAGAACAAGTATGTTGGTTTTACAGGTTGAAACATGGAGGATCTGAGAGATTAAAGAGTTTGCTCAAGGTGACCCACCGGTTAGCGGACCGAGCTGGAAAGGGACGGCAGCTCTGCACACCCTGCCGTCACCCTGTTCCCCACAGTCGGCAGTGGGACCCAGCCTCACTCTCAAACCGAGCTCTGGGTTTGAAAAATCACTCCACTGCGTAATTAGGATGATTGCAGGGTATTGTCAACACAGGGATTTTTACACTTAATTTATGAATTAGAGTAAGTTTCACTGCCCGCCCCCAAAACCAACACAAATTCTGGACTGCAAATATCTGTCATAGATAACATAACATAAAAGACTTGAAGTGAGGAAGAGAGAAGCTGCGTTCCAGCGATGTTAACTCAAAAAGGTCAGGAGTTAGTGTGTATCCCCAGGCTCTGGGTTTAAGGCAGCTGTCAACAATAATACCAGAGGCAAATTGTGCTCCAAAGTGTGATTGTAAATTCCATTTTCCTGAAGAAATTCTCTTTCACACACCCCACCCCCACCTCTTTTCCCATTTGTTCTGCTCCACCTACTCATTCCTAACCATGTGACTTTCAAATGTGTCCCCTGTGTATACATTTTTCCTTGTTTCGGAAAAAATGAGTCATTCTATTCCAGTTTCCTGAAGGATCCCTTGAGCCTGTCAGAGTGATTTATAAAGGGAAGGAAATGTATTAAAAATGAGCAAAAGAATGGAATAAAAAATGTGTGGAAAGAGAGCCTTTTTAAGCTTCTCTTTGTTGGTTAACTCAGTTATTTTTTTTTTTTAGTTATTTCTTTATTTACACATTTACTTATATATTTATTTCTGCCTTTCTTTTGGGAAGAGATGGAGTGTTCACTAATTGACATGTATGCCAAAAGGGTTAACAGATTACAAATAGAAATATGAAATCAGGATCAGGGAAATGAAGAAACAGTTATGGAAATAATCAGGATTAATATTTTGTGTGCGTCGTTGAGCACTGAATAAAGTTCTTAGCTTTTTGGCCAGCAAAATAAAAGGGAAACATGGCAAATCATAATATTTTGTCCTTAGAGATACATTAAGCTATACAATTTTGATTTTTTTTTGTAGGAAGAAAGCATAACAGATGGTCACGTTTCTAGATTCTGATTGGTTCCTCTGTAAAAGTTGTCAGGCCCACACACACAGCGCTCTTCCCCCGCCCCACGTGACTGAGGCAGAACGCTGACTGGGGCCGCTCCTCACACTGCCGGCCCTCCCTCCCTGTGCCATCTGCCAGGCAGGCTGAGCCAGCTTCTCACCAAGAAAGCCTCTTGATTACTTCGTCTCCTGCTTCCTATTCCCATGTCACTGTGGGTGACATAGAGCAGAAAGGCCAGCCATCTCATTCTCTCTTGGGTCCTTGATTCTTACCCATGTGGCAAGAATGGTTAAGTGTATCCAAGCCACCTGCCTACCTGCCATAGGAGTGCAAAGCACGTTCCCTGTCTTGAACCAGGCAACTGGTGTGATTTTGGCATCAGCAGTAAACCTGCTTTTTCAAGCGTCTCCTATTTGTTTTTCCCTCACACTGACAGATGTGCTTCCACTGACTTTTTTCCCCCCCAGCGTGGTAAAGCGAAGAATTCACAGTTTTTTCTTTCTCAAGTGGGTAGGTGGCGCTGTCGAGGCTGGAGGGCGGTACCAGACGGAAAGCGGCCTGCACTGACTCCTAAGGAGCAGTAGCACTGGACAGAAGTGTCAATAACAGCAGGAGAACACACAAACTGTTTTTCATAAAACTTTCCTTATAATAATTTTCAATAAGGGATAAGGCATCACATTAAAAGACAGGTTGGAGGAGATGGTCCTAAAAGAGTCAAAGCTAAAAGGTTTGACATGTGTGGTGTGTGGAGTCTCAGGGCCCAGGGAATAGGTGGAGAGCGTGCCTTGCCGGGGCACACGCTCATCTGTTCCTTGTCTCCTTGCATGGGAGCTGTCCAGAGGAGGGACTGGATGGCACTTGGGGTCGTGCTTTCTGACCATGGTGCAGGGGTGTCCAACCTGCAGCTCATGGGCTCTGTGAGGCTCAGGGTGGCTGTGAATGCGGCCCAACACAACACTGTGACTTTACGTAAAACGTGAGATTTTTTTGTGTGTGATTATGTATTGCAATGTATTTAATATGTGGCCCAAGACAACTCTTCTTCCAGTGTGGCCCCGAGACGCCAAAAGGTTGGACACCCCTGAGGATGACTGAGGGGTGTCTGCCTCGGAAAACAGATGTATGAGCAGAGGATTAGGTGGATAATGTCTTATGAAAAATAATGTTTTTAGTTTGATGAAAGGTTACCCACTTTACAGCAATGTGAAGGGCAACCCAAAAAGTTACCGAAAACGCAGCAGAGATTTCCTTAGAAGCAGCTTAGGGGTTTCTTTAGTATTTGAAAAGCTTTCTTCTTTGTTTTGTTTTGTTTTCCTATAGCTTCTTTTTCTACTCTGTGGACTCTGCTTGTCATATGATCTATTGGGAAGTCAATATGATACATGTTTGCCACTGTTTCCATTAACCTTACAGATATTTTTAGGAGATGCAAAAAAAGCTCACTAATGAAAAATTAGTAACTAACTGAACAATTTTCCAGGAATTCATAGAGGGAGATGGGCTATTTATAGATTGGCAAAAAGATGAAACTTAGCAGAACTAGTGTATAGAACTTACTTTGGCATTTATCCATTCATGGTTGTTGTGCCCTTTGCAATGTCAGCAAAAGCTCCGTGCATCCTTATTCTACCAGAAGCCTCTGTCAGTGAGGGTGGAAAGGCATCATTGGGTTTGAGGAAGCAGAGCTATTCTGGGGGAGAGCCACCTCAGAATAAACCAGCTCTGTACTTCTCTTATCAAGAAAGGCAGGAATTCGGGAACTTACCCTTCGACCGAGGCAAGATGATGATAAGATGCAAATCATAATCTAAAAGTTGCTTGGAATCCATTATATTCTTAGGGCCATACTACTTCCTCAAATTCTTTTTATGAAAACTCATGGATGAGGCCATTATTCAAATGCCTGAGAGAGACTGTAAACAGAGTGGAATCGTAGGGGCTATGCCTATTTTCTTATCATATATGGAAAAATTCCATTGCAAAATGAACTTGTAAATACAGCAGAGGCTGCTTGTTTCCAAAAGAATGAGAAATTTCATCTATAGGTATTTAGTAAATACAGTGTCTATTAAGCTAGGTGTCAACTTTAGAGAGAAATTCAGACTGTACCATACACAAAGCATTGAATAGCTGATGAATTCTATTACGTTGGGAGCAGGATTAATTTATATGTCATTTTTGTATTTTCCAGAAATTGTGCATCTTTGACAGTTTTGGAACCCTAGTCTTCGCAGTATTTATGGGGTTATGGGGTAAGTTTTTCTTTCCCTTTTTTTTCCCAGTTTACTCTTGCCTCCTAACATAAAAGAACCCTAAGATCGTACAAACACCCCGTTTAGGAGCATTATACAGTTTTGTGTAGGCTATCAAAGTAATGCACTTTTAGGAGCATGGATTGCCTAATCTTTGGCTCCCCCAGAACTCCTTTGAGAACTCTTAAAGGCCATTGTGTCAGTTTCTGGATAAGAGACTGCCTTAAAACGCGGTAGCTTTAAACACACAGCCATTATTCTCATGATCCTCGGGGTCAGCTGGGAGGTTCCACAGGCATGGGCTCGTCCAGCCGGTTTCTGTGTGGGGTTGGCAGCCCTACCAGGCCAGGTGGTCTGGCTGTTGCCCGGCTGATTGGTGTGTGGGGCTCAGCTGGGTGAGCCCAGGTTCTTCACATGGTGGTTTTAGGGTTCCAAAAAGGGCCAAGGGAGGACAGGCCTTAATGCATACACACTTTTTAAGCCTGGGGTTGCATCAAGTTTGTAAATGTCCCATCAGCCAAAGCAAGTCATGGCCAAGCCAACAACAGTGCGTGGCTCACTGGGAGCCTCTGCTGTATCAGCCTCACAGCTGTGGGGTTGGGCCCAGGGGGCGCACCGCCACTGGGTGCCAGGTGAGCTTTCTACATTTCTGTATGAGTGTGTATGTAATAAGTAAGTGCTACTCTTATAATAATATCATCACGTCCTATTTAATACATTGAACCAATATAACCCGAAAGAACATAATTTTATATAGAAGTTCTAACATTATGTTCATGTATTTACTTTGAATGGCATTATTAACGAGGCAGTTTTTTCTTTAAATGCAGGCTTTTACATGTTTAATTGATGTAAATGTTCTACCACAGAAGGAATAATTTCATTTTCAACAATAAACACGTGTCCAGTCTCTGTGAAAGGCAGCGGAAAACAGAGTTCGGGTCATAGGTGGGAGGAGGGGGGAGAAACAGAACCAAGTGTCTTACTCTTGCGACAACGCTTGAACACGCACGTCACAGAAACAGTTTTCCGTGGGCGTCCTCGGCCGTGTTTCTGTCACAGTGGTCGTGCCTGCGAAGCATCTCCAAATGGGTCTGAGAGCAGACCGTTGTTTTGAACACTATTTAGAGATACCAGCTACCACTCCTCAATTAACTAGACCCTAAGGTGGCCAAACATATCTGAAAATGACATCGTCATTCGGACCCTTAGCACGTTTTGGCTGAAAACCAAACACTGGCCACTAGTTGATGCACAGAGGAGTAAGGACCAAGTTCATGTAGTCAGACCTTCTGCAGTCCTGCACGGTACACTGCATGGTCATTTCCCCCGGTAAGAGCACAGGTGCCAAATGCATGGGCGGTGGGCGGTCTCAACTCTTGTCTGCCCCTTAGTCCCAGCACTGACTCCTAACATATAAAATTCTGACATTTCTGTTGAACTCCACATACTAATAGATGCTGACAACCCTAGTTTAAAAAGGCATCGCAAGTAAAGCAAAATATATACATATAAATTTTGGTACTGGAAAGACAGACCTAATTTCCTAACTCTCCTTGGTGTCCATGATCATGAACTACACTGTGTTTATAGAACTGACTTAAGCATAGGAGCCTCCGGTTTTATTTCATCAGACTTTAGAATACCCTGCTTGTAGCTCCATGTGTGTGTGTGTCTCTAAGGGGGTGTGTGTGTGTCTCTAAGGGGGTGTGTGTATGCTGAGGTCTTAATTTTAAGGGCCTTATATTGCTCTTCTTCTTACCTCCACCTTATGAGGAGGCTGCTGTGGTCCTCATTACAGAAAGCCTGAAATTGTAGAACTGAAGAGGCAGGAGGAGCCTGTGAAGTTTTTCATATCACCATCATCGTGTAACTGCGCATCGTTTTTGTGCCCAGGTGTATGTGGCATTTAGAGGGTTGTACTCTTAGTGTGGCACTTGGGAGTTACTCAAGTCGAGGGTAGAAAGCCTTTTATAGTGAATATAGTACAAATCATATACTTATCTTTGCACTCCTAGGCCAGGCTGGCCCACCCATTTGTACGGACTCACAGAGTCCTGACACCAACCCAACGTTGAAGTCAAGGTTCTTAACACCTCTCCCACTGCCCTTTTTTTGTTGCTTCTTACCTGCTTCTATCTGATTCTCTCTGGCTCCAGGCTCTTGGCTGCATGACTGTAAGTTTTCATTTTCACCTTTGGGTTCTAGTCTAGGTCTAGTGATTCCCAGAAGAACACTGGACACCTGGCTTATAAAGGTCCAGGGAATCAAGAAGCCATGGCCTTAACCAGCTGTGCTTGGGGGCCTCAGGAAATGGCTGTGGCGGTGGCCTTGCAGAGCGGCGCTGCTCCTGCCCGGTCCACATCGCAAAGCAGCACAGCTCCCGCAACCGCCTGGGCTTCCGTTCGCCTCTTTCTGATTTAAGTGACACACAAATGCATGTCATGGGCATTTCGAAAACTGCATCTGGAGTTCTAGCTGCAAGAGAGTCTATGAGAAATGTAGTTTTCACCTTGCAGTCTTTCAGTGAGGAAGTTGAAGTAAAGCCTAAGGAAGCTAGCTCCTCTACCTTACCTGCCTTTGTGAGTAAAGTAATATGAATAGTTTGAAGGCCTGTTAAAATGTCCCAACCCTTCAGCAGCAAACTTTTTTCAACTTGCTTTTTTTAATTTAAAAAAATTTTCAGTTACAGTTGGTATGCAATATTATATTAGTTTCAGGCTTGCAACATAGTGATTAGACAGTTATTTAAATTACACAGTGGTCACCCCATCTGACACCATACATAGTTATGACAGTATTATTGACCATATTCCCTTCAGCAGCAAATTCTTACAGCAGCCGGAACAGCCCCATCTCCCAAGGGTGTGCCTCTGGTCCTCAGATAATGCTGGATGCCACACCACCAACGCTTCAGGGATCTGATCCCTGTATTTCCTCATGGGCATCTCTGTCATCCGATGCGTACTCTATCTAAACGTAATGGCATTATGAGTGAGAGGACAAGCTGTTCATTGTTCCCAGGGTCCTAGGCAGCCTTCCCTCTTCCCTTGTTGTTGATGAAAGAGTCTTAACCATGTCTCTCTAATCAACTAGAGCAAGGAAGGGTGTCAAACTCATTTTCACCAGGGGCCACATCAGCCTCATGGTCACCTTCAAAGGGCCGAATGTAATTTTAGGACTGTATAAATGTAACTACTCTTTAACTAGGGGCAAGGAGCTCTGCACTGCCCCCAGGTAGAAACAAGGTGCCAGGCCGGATAAAACAAGGCAGAGGGCCTGATTTGGCCTCGTGTTTGCCCTTGGTAACCAGAGCTGCCTGGTGTGTGCTTTGCCAGAGGACATAAGTGCAGTGCCTCCCACTGGTGTTCTGCCAGTTGTTTTACTGCAGGGAGAGAACTACAGATACAGAACAGGAAATTCCTGTGTGACCTCATGCAAGGTCACCCCAGGTCCTGGTGCTCTCCGTCAGGGACACACAGCAGTGTGAGTCAGCAGGGATGTGCCTACTTCCAAAACTGCGGGTGGTTCTCCCAGGTTATCACTGTCTTCCATGAGCCCTGTGGATATTTGGCTGGGTGGAGTGAAGAACTAAGAAACTCCCACCCATTCCTGCAACTCTAGGTTTTGCCTTCAGGGTTCAGGGTTTGCTACCAACTACTGTTATTCACCAGGTCATGTTTGGCTGCACAGCAGCCCTGTCACCTCCTAGGCGGGACTCCTAAAGTTCAGGGTCTGGTAAACACCAGGCTTTTTACCCCTTAGGTTCAAGTTCAGGGAGGACAGGAACAGTATCCACTCTTCCTTTATAGTGCTGATCATTGCTTTTTATAAGAAAGATAAGTTCCCTTTTTGTAAATCACCTCCTGTTGATACCATTGCTAGAGAGTGAGTAAATGGATGGCTGTTATACCCCCATTTTAAAGATGAGGAGAGTGACACCAGGAGGTGAAGCAGGTGACTCAAATCCCCCGAGACAGAAAGGGACAAGCACAGAGTAAGAGCTCCCCCAATAATTTGGCTGTCATCAGCCTTTACATCAGTGACAAAATACAGCGTGTGTCATAAAGTTGTGAGAAACTTTTAGAAAGATGCCTAAATGTGTACATGATTGATATAATAGCACTGTTCTGTCTGGGGCTTTGAATAATAGGGCTGGGCTAAAAAGTGTCGGTTCCATACCCGTGGTTCCTCCCCACCTGGCACAGGTGTGGTGGGGAGAGCGACCAGACACCCAGCTTCATTTCACCAGCCTCGTGAGGTCAGATGGACTCACTCCATTCGTGCCTGGCTCTAGGAGACAAAGTGAGGCGGAGTTTAGTGTTTTAATCACAGTTCAGTTATATGAATTGAATTACAAATTCATATAAGTAAGCTGCTTTTTTAGAAAATGAAAAATAGCTTTCTTTGCAAGGAAGGAAATTGGGGGTTTTCTCCATTTTTGAAAAAAGAATTTCAAAAACATCTGCATTTCTAATAGGTTAAAATCACAAAATTTGGAGGAATTACAGTAACACAAGGACGATATTTAGGGTGGCTGTTCAGAGGGCTTTTCTGGCCGGCTGTGTTCAAATCGAGGCCGTGGCAGGGCGCACTGTCCGCGCAGCGCAGTGTCTTCCCGTAGGTCCGACGGGGCGGAGTTCCCGCCGGTGTGTGGTCACAGTGCTTCGAGTGAGCTGAGAGGTAGGACAGGGCACTTGATGATTCCTTCGCGCTGTCTCCCGTCAAATCCTCCCCGCGGTCGGGGTGCTGGAGCCACCATGACCTCACCAGTCGACTGTCACGTTCTCTCCGGTTTGTTCTCCACCGCAGCGTGTCCAGACCTGTTGCTGGGCATGGGGTGGACTGAGCACCCAGGTGGGCTGGTAGAGCAGAGAAGGGGGGAGAGGGATGGTCATGCACAGAGAGAGGAGCAGGTGGCACCACCTGGGCCCTCCGAGCGAATGTCCATCCTTCAGGGGTCCCAGAGAGTGGGGGTCCTCCAGTTTCTGGATGGGCTCCTTACAGTGCATTCATTCAGCTACTATTTATTCAGTGCCCACTGTATGCTAGTGCTTCAGCATGAACAAAACGAGGTCCCTGCCCTCGTGAAGGTGGCATTCTAGTGGACATGATAAATGATAAGCGTAGGAGCAAATGCCAGGCAGGACGGGAGTGCTCCCTGTTTTGAAGCACGGGAGTTGAGGTCAGCGTAGAGAGCACAGTGTGCCCTTCTTGTGAGAATGCACACGGCCGCAGGAGAGATTGGCTAGTTGAGGTGGGAGACAGACTTGAGAGGACGTGCAGTTCCAGCAGTGCAGAATTCTCAAGTAAACTGGAAAGTGGCGTTCTCCTATTTGATGGGCTGCATGGGTGTTTATCAGGCAGATGTTAGCCTAGGTAACTTTGGTAAAGGGGGTGGCATATACTATGCTACTTCATGTGAAGCCCAAAAAGGGGTGACTCAGGGGTGACTCGCTTGCCCCATGGGGGGTGTGTTTTGGGACTTTCTGCCACATGAGGCCAGCATGGATAAGGAAGGAGTAGGACCAGCGAGTCACGGCTTGGTCCACAGACTGACTTAGTGCCCTCCAGACTTTCATCCCATCAGTACCTCATTCCCTGCTGTTTGGAGACAAGGACACAAATGGCTGGGCAGTTTCTCAGTGGTAGAGGCATCTGTCAACAGCATAGGCCCCTTGCCTTGGCTTTGACCTTAAGTAGTGAGACAGCAGGGTAGCTGAATTACGGAGATGTAGACCACCACACTTCCGTTCTCACACAGAGGTTGTTTTTGAAAGTTCTGACCAGGGAACATGGATGCTGTCTTACCCGTAAACAAGAAACAGTTTCTTTCAGACTGAGAATTAAGTAGTAAGTTTAGGCACACATACTCAGGAGAGAGAGACAGCAGAAAGAGGACCTTCCTGAGAGCAGGAGCAACCAGATCAGTCCTGCTGCCCGGGGTCTGACGGGCGAACCAGCTGAATTTCGCTCACAGGTTGCTCACTTCCGGGCTTTGGGACATTTGAGTGACCTGAGAGTGTCAGCACGTAGCACCCAAGGGCTTGTAGATATCGCCCTCCAATGTTAACTCGTCGGTGCAGCCGTTGTGCACGGAGGTGGAATTTGGTGGACTATCGGCCCCTCGCCTGTGCCCCCTGACGGGGCCAGTGGATTGTAGACTGCAACTTGGCGGGACTGCAACTTGGCGGCAGGGGAAAGGGAGGCGTCGTTCCTACTTAAAGAGGCTGAGAGGCCTTACATACTCCTGCCCTGGTTTTCAGAGCTTCATAAGAAAAACTACCTTCATTCCAGCTCCCCAGCCAAGTAGGAGACGAGAAATTATCTTCTCTATTGACTGAGCTCTATTGCCTCCATTAACAATAGCAACCAGAGCAAAGAGCTGGACCACCACCTCCATTCCCTTGTAAACCTTCCAGTAGCCACAGCAGTGGCTGCCGAGGGTTGGTGTGTCCATGGAGGCCTGTGGGGAACAGGACAGTTACTGGCAGTATGTCCCAGAGGGGTGCCAGAGTCAGAAGCCGGAAAAGCAAGTAGTGGTAACACCTAAGCAAAGAGTGGGTGCCATGCTCTGACTAATGTGGCTCGGTGGGTTGGGCATTCTCCCACATACTGAAAGGTCACTGGTTCAGTTCCTGGTCAGGGCACATGCCTGGTTTGCAGGCCAGGTCCCCGGTTAGGGCCATGTGAGAGGCAGCCCATCGATGTTTCTCTCCTTCTCCCTCCCTTCCCCCCTCTCTAAAAGTAAATAAATAAAATCTTTTAAAAATTATTTTAAAAAGAGTGAGTGCCATGGTCCAGAGCCCAAAGGGGGCGGGCTGGAGAGCAGGAGAGCTGAAGAGCAGAGGTTGGGCTCTGGAGCCAAGAATGCCCGGCTTTGACTCCCGACTCCAACACGGTAACCGCAGGCAAGCAGTTGAACTACCTGCGCCTCTGCTTCTCGGTGCCTAAAATGGGGAGAGCAGTAACCATGACCTCAGAGGGCTCTGAAGGCCTTTACAGAGATGTGTCAAGAAGTTCACAGTGGCCCGTCAGGTAGGTTCCGCTTCCCCCACTTTCCTGCCAGCTCCACCTGCTGCCCCACCCTGCTTGTCACACTGAGCGCTCACTTCCAGACCAGTCGCAGTTTCTGGGAAGTACCTGGCTCTCTCCGACTTCCTGCCTTTGCACGCACAGCTCCCTGGGGGAAATGACCTCAGCCTGATCGGTTCTAAGTCATCTCAAAACTCACCGTGTGGTCCCTTCCTCTGGGAGAGCCGTGGTCACCTGTTCTGGCCCTGTGTGCCCAGAGCAACCTGCGCTTGCCTTCCTCAACGACCTCCCGATAGTCTGCAGTCACTGTCACTTCAGTACAACCTCTGTACGCCCAGGAGCCCCTTGCAGTGAGATTGCATCTTTTTTCCTCTTCTCAGCACATAGTAGACTCTCAAAAAATGTTTATGGATGGCGTAGTGGTAACTCCAGAATTTCTGTACAGGAAGGGCCCAGTGGTCGTGTTCTGGAAGAGGGGCCTGGGGGACTTACCCTGAAACCACTTTTTAAATTAACATTGATGTCGTCTTTATTTAGTATTTTAAGTTACAAATCTTAAAAAGTAATAAAGATTTCTAAAAGTTATTTTTTGCAAGATAAAGAAAAATACTGATTTTCTATATTAAGAATATTATTTTAATTTGGGGTGGCTTGGGTGACAGTAAACAGATTCGGGAACCCCTCCCTCCCTGCCACCAGGCCCTTAGGAAGGAAGCTGGGGGGAGGGGCGTGAGGAAGAGCAGCCTGAAGGATGGACCGTGAACTTCTTTGAACTACACTAGTTATTTGTGTTGCTCAGTGGGCAACAAAGTGCTAATTAGCAGATGCTTTAGCCTTAGACACACTCACATGCCGTCTTATCATCCCAGAGTCCGTTTTCACAAGCTGAATTATCAGTGTTTTCTAAAACAAAGAGCATTAACTTTTTTTCCTCTTAAATATTAATATTGCCTATAAACTAGATGCTGTTGATCATACGCAGAGGTGTTATGGATAATTAATATTACTTAGTGCAGATTTCTGAGACATCAGTCATCATTGAAGACCCACATGATCCTGTTCTCTCTTTGTTAGTTACCTTGTTTTTGGAGTTTTGGAAGCGGCGCCAGGCAGAACTTGAGTATGAATGGGACACGGTTGAGTTGCAGCAGGAAGAACAACCCCGGCCCGAATACGAGGCGCGGTGTACTCACATGGTAATAAATGAGATCACTCAGGTAAGGAGGATGTTACTGGATGGAGGGGTGACTGACTGCAGGGGTTCTCAGCCTTGGCTGCACATTGGGATCCCCGGGGACCTTAGGAAAGGTTGACGCCTGGTCCCATCCCTACGTCTTCTGATGGTGCTTGGTAGTCTGCAATGTATTCTGGGCCCAGGGAGTTTTTAAAGCTCCTCTGGTAATTCTGCTGTGCACCCAAGGTAGAGAAGCTGTGCCTCAACAATGGACATGGGAGGTAAATGTAGTCCTTTCAAAAAAAAATAGACTCAGTATAAATGTACAGGAAGTCCTCACTTGATGTCATCAATAGTTTCTGCCACTTTAAGCAAAATGCTGTATAACGGAACTAATTCTACCATAGGCTAATTGGTTCCTACGTCATCTCGTCAACATTGTAACAAAATGACATTGAACAAAACGATGTTATTTGAGGACCTGCTATATAAGAAAAAAGATGCGTTGGTTTGTGTAAAAATGTACCAAAAAAAAATAGACTGTGTGACCAAGGAAAGGCACGTAGGTTATTACAGTTGATTCTCAGTTTTTCACATGCGCCTTCATTATTTCAGCCCCTTTCATCCTAGATTTAGCTGTCCCTTTGTCTTACCCTAAAGCCTCAGCCACTGCTCCCCCTTCTGGTTGGGATGTGCACAGAATAGTGTGGCTCTTACCCTGAAGTTGGGGGAAGAATGGAGGGAAAGAACATTTGTTGAGGTCCAAGTATATTCAGTCACTGTAGCAAGCATTTTATATAATTGGAAAGGTAAATTTGCTGCTGCTACTGCTGCTGCAAAATAAAAACAACTGTACATCCCTCTGTAAAGTATTCCAGAGCCAGTGAAAGATGGTTTTTGAATTATCTGCATTACTGCTTCTTTCTACCAACAGAGAAAATTTGGAGCTGATTGCCCTTGCAGTCATCAGCATAAGGACAGTAGCTCCTGAATATGAGTAACTCTTGAGAAAAAATGCTTTTACCATGAGCATCTGAAAATGTCTTCAAGTGTAGGTTTCCTAAATGCAAGCACAGATTTACGGAACATCGGCACAGAAAGGGACTGGAGGGAGCAGTTCCTCGTTTTATAAATGGGACAGAGTGGTGGTTCAGTTATTGGGAGAAGGTGACATTTTTGAGAACTGAAAAACAAAAGCTCATGTTGGCAACGTAAGGAAAACCCTGAAGGAAAAAACAATTTGGTGATTTAAACCCACCAGTTTTAAATTTAAGATTGCTAACTAATAGATTTAAATTTCCACCGAAACGTTGCTTATTTAAAATGAAAGTTCATTCGATTTTACGTTTCTCATTTTCATTTCTGTTGCTAACACACCTTCGTTGGTTTAGAGGAGCTCACCCTGTGACGGTCAGGTCTTGGCAATGAGGCCACCTGAGTCAAATCCAAACACAGCTATGTAACAGCTGAGTGGTTCTGGACACATTATTTAACTTCTCTGTGCCATTGTTTCCTCAATTAAGGAATGGAAGCAAATTTAGTTGCTTCCTCCTATGATTGTGGTAAGGATTAATCTACTTAACATATAGAACCTACTTAGGTAGTGCCTGGCAAGAGTAGCAAATCGCACAAAGTACCTGCAGCTGTTATTATACTGTAGCTGCTTTTGCTATCCAGACAAATCTAGAGAAGTCTTGATTTCTTCTCTTCAATGTTTACATATAGTCATATAAAGTAAAAAGTAAAAACTTTAAAAATTCAGTTACAACCAATGAACGTGTAAAGCTCAACCAAGAAACACATACTGGACACCCAGGATTTGCAGACGCCTGCGGAGCGTTCTGTGGAGCGTGGGCTCGGTCCTGTCGTCGCCTCAGCTCTGAAGTCCAAGGCAGGAAGTGCGGCTTTGCAGCCTGCCTGCCACGGTGCCCGGCTCCCCAGCTCAGGTTACAGAGGATGGGTTTTTACTCACACTTGCATTTTCAATAAATACTATTGAAATGAACACTGCACATGTTTTGTTGTATGTATATTTGAAATTATTAACAAAAACGTGATTATGAGTAAGGGAGCAATATTTAAAAACTAATTTTTAGAAATATTATCTTAAGCCTAGGAGTTAGTGACTGATCAAGAGAAAAAATCATTTCATTGGAGTAATCTCTTGATTGTCTAAATTTCTTCTTCATTTTTTCTTCTATCAGGAAGAAGAGCGCGTTCCCTTTACTGCCTGGGGGAAATGTATACGTATAGTCCTGTGTACGAGTGCTGTCTTATTCTGGGTAAGAGTCACAGAATTTAATATTGAATATTAAATGTTGAGGAAACTAAAATCTGAGCTGGAAACTATGTAATCTCATTTGTTCAGATCTGATCAGTGGTCCAGGACTTTGCAGTTCCTGGCAAAGAAACCAAATCTGAGGCATTAGAATTCTAAAATTTTTTCGGTAGTAACAACTAAAAAATGCCTAGAAATAGTCTTAACAACAAAAAAAGAGGAACTACCAAAGAAAAGGCATAAAAGCTACTGAAAGATGTAAAAGCCTCAAACAAATGATTCTAGACCCAAAGACAATATTTCTAAAATATTTGAACTTAAGAAACTAATTTTGAGTATATTATTAATAAAATCATAATAGTATTGTAATAATCAGTAACATGAAGTTTTATTGGCTCAAAAATAGCCAGGTAGGACATGAAGCCCAGTAGGGGCGCCAATATCAATAGCGAGGTAACATATGCGAAGGGAGACCTAAATCAGGGGGGTAAGTCGAAGTTATTCAACAAATAGTAATGGAACACTTGTTAGCTGGTGAGTAAAACATTAAAGATTGAGACCAATTATGAACCACGTTCTATAATAAATCCCAGAAACCTTAAAAATAAGTAACACCAAAAATAACTAGAAATAAATATTGATGGATATATGATCTCTAGCTATAAAAAGATTTTCTAAACTTAATAACAATGGGAGAAGTTTTAGAAGAAAATATTTAAAGATTTCCATACATCAAAAGCATCCTAAGTTTAAACAAAACACTAAAAGGAATGTTGTTAACAAATAGGGCAAAGAATTAATAACTTCAATACATAAGAAGTCGAGACCACTTCTAAAAAACACCCACGATCTCAGGACTTAGGAGGCAGAGAATGTGAGTGCACATTCACAAAAGAAATAGCATCATGGAAGATGTCAAACTGCGGGAGCAATTAGGTCAGTGCAGGTTACAACAAGGTCCGGTTTTTCACCTCTCAGCCGGTAAGACTGAGAGGATGAAATGCAGGGGTCAGCACTCTCACACCTAGTCTGTTAGAATTTTGCATTGCTCTGGCCTTCTTAGAAAGCAGTGAGGCAGTGTGGATTAAGAGTCAAATGTATTCATATGCTTTTATCTACCAATTTACATTTAAAAAACTTTTAGTCAGGAAGTATTGCAAAATGGCAAGAAAAAGTCAGTAAGGAATTAGTCACAGACATAAATGTACTAGCCAAAATATTCTACTCCCACCTCTTTTTTATTGTTTTAATTTTTATTGTTTATTTTATTACAGTTGTCCCGATTTTTTCCCTTTTGCCCTCCTCCACGCAGCCCACCCCTCTCACCCACAGTCACACCCCTCTCTGATGTTCATGTCCGTGGGTCATTCATACATGTTCTTTGATCCCTTTCCCTCCCTCCACCATTCCCTCCTCCCTCCTACTCTGTCAATCTGTTTCATGTTTCCATGTCTCTGGTTCTATTTTTGTCATTATTTTATTTCATTCATTAGATTCTAGTTATAATTGAGGTCATATGGTATTTGTCTTTCACCACCTGGATTATTTCACCTAGCATAAAACTCTCCAGTTCCATCCATGCTGTCACAGAAGGTAGGAGCTCCTTCTTTCTCTCTGCTGCATAGTATTCCACTGTGTAAATGTACCACAGTTTTTTAATCCACTCATCTACTGATGGGCACTTGGGCTGTTTCCAGCACTTGGCTATTGTAAAGAGCACTGCTGTGAACATAGGGGTGCCTAAATTTCTTTTGAATTGGTGTTTCAGGATTCATACGGTATGTTCCCAGCCATGGAATTGCTGAATTATGAGGCAGTTCCATGTTTAATTTTTTGAGGAAATTTCATACTGCTTTCCACTGTGGCCGTACCCACCTACATTCCCACCAACAGTGCACTAGGGTTCCCTTTTCTCCACGTCCTCACCAGCACTTGTTGTTTGTTGATGTGTTAATGATGGCCATTCTGACAGGTGTGAGGTGGTATCTCATGGTGGTTTTAATTTGCATCTTTCTGATGGCTAGTGATGTTGAACATATTTTTTCATATATCTATGGGCCCTCTGTGTGTCCTCCTTGGAAAAGTGTCTGTTCATGTCCTTTGCCCATTTTTAAATTGGATTGTTTGTTTTCTGGGTGTTGAATCATATGAGTTCTTTATATATTTTGGAGATTAAACTCTTGTCTGATGTATCAGAGGCAAATATGTTCTCCCACACAGTCAGTGCCCTTTTAATTTTGATTTCTTTAGTCGAGCAGAAACTTTTTAATTTGATGTAGTCCCATTTGTTTGTTTTCCTTTGTTTCCTTTGCCCTAGAATATGTATCAGCAAAAGTATTGCTACATGGGACATTTGAAATGTAACTGCCCAAGTTTTCCCCTAGGACTTTTATGGTATCACTACTTACCATATATTTAAGTCATTTATTCATTTTGAGTTTATTCTGGCGGGTGGTCTAGTTTCATTTCTCCGCATGTACCAGTCCAGTTCTCCCAACACCGTTTACTGGAGAAATCGTCTGAACTCCACTGTGGGCTCGTGCCCTACTTCCAGCTCTGTATGCAGTAAAATATTGTGCAGCTGCGAAAAGGTGTGTCCATAAAAATATGTTGTGGTGTGTAAAAATGTTATGGTTATGATAGGTTTAAAGAAAAGATACAATTACTCAAATGATTTTTAATATACAAACTACATAGTTCTGAAGGAATTGTGCCTAGATTAGATAGTAGATACATTTTTTCCTACTTTTCTTAGTTTTTAGTCTTTGGATAGTTAAGAGTCTTTCGATTGCGGGAGACAGAAAATCAATCTCCAACAACAAAGAAGTGGGGGCCGATGGGATTTATTGGTTCCTGTAACTCAACCCAGTCTGAGGTGTGGCGTGAGTCCAGCACAGACACTGCAGCTCGGATGATGGCAAGGGCTGTGTCTTGTTCTGTCCTCGTTCCGCGTCTGGCGGTCTCCCTGCATGGGGGCTCCGGGCACCCTCCCTTACGGTTGCAGCAGTCCCGATCTCACAGCCCAGGAAGCCAAGCCAGGTCTCTGTCTTAGCAGCTTCCTCTGAAAGAAGCTTCTCTTTCCCGTGGGCACTAGGAGGTGTCCACATCCCAGTAGCTCTTGGAAGGTTATTTGTCAATCCTTGAGTCGGTTGCTGAGGCCAACAGGACGCGATACCTATTAGTCTCACACGAATCAGGATGTACCACTGGAGCCCAGAGCAGGGAGGGTGAGCAAGCCCAGACCACAGGACTGAAAATAAAGAGGTTATTCCCTCAAAAGCAAAGTCCAGGTCCTTTTCTAAGATGAGACACAGATCTGGGCAGCAAACGTAGCTCTTGTTCACTACAGGGCACTTTCAAATTTTCTATGACAAGCATATATTAAAAGTTATAAGAAAAGTATATTAAAGTTATAGTGAGGAAAAGATAGGCAAGGATCTTGAGGAAGGAGAGTGAAAAGCTTCTCTGACTCCTGTGAAGAAATATTGAACCTATCAAGTGCTCTGAAGAAGTCTGGAAACGTTGAGTCTGTACGAGCTCCAGACTGGAGTAGAATTCATTTCAGAAACCACACGGAGGCAGCACCATGGAGAGGGCAGTACCCCTTTGGAGTCCTTGAGAATCTCAGTTCTTTCACTTACTAGTTGCTTCATTTGGGGCAAACTGCTTAATCTCTGTATGGCTGTTTCCTCACCTGTAAAGGGATCTAATACGCTCTGCCTCCCGGGACTGTAGGTGTATGTGTGCTGAGGCGAACAGTAAGCATTTCAGGAATCTTAACTCTTATAATTACTAGTTTTAAAAATTATTATGGAGGTAACTTTTAAAAATGCATACTATTTAAATTGTCTGCCTATACGTGTTTTGCCGAGAGAGAAATACACATTTCTCAGCCTTGGCTAACATTCTCACATACTCCACATATTTTTTTTAAAAAGTTTTCCTTTCACAAGTGTTAAACCTTAACTGTGAAGGGAAAGGAGATAATGAGAGATTAGAGGAGGAAGTGTAATGCCTTCTCTACAATTGATGGCTTAAAAGGTAAGAAAAACATCTTGTTAACGCTGTAGTTGCTGTAACCGTGGCAAAAAAATGTTCATACAATTCTTTTCACGTGCCTGGGCTCAGTGTTCTGAGTGTTTGCCCTTGGAGCAGCTCACTGAGTCCAACCACAGCCCTGTTAGTTGCTGTTATTACCACCCACCCACCACCCTACCCCCCATGCTGTGGGTGAGGAAGTTGAAACTCCTGAAGGTTGAATGGCTTGCACCAGGCCCCACCGCTGGTGGCAGAGCCGGGCTCCAGTGCAGGAAGGAGTCTGTGCTGGTCACCCCTCCCTGGACCACTTTCCACAGGGAACACCAGCCTCCTCCTGTTACTGCAGACAGCGCGACGTGATTGGCTCAGTCCTGAAATTTGCATTCTTGGTAGCTTTTTCTCTCATGGCACACACACGGTCAGACACATTGAGTGCCTGCTTCTGGAGTGTGTCCGCGAGGTAGATGTAGGGAAAACACCTGGAATGCACATTGTTCGGTGGCAGAGAAAACCTGCCTAGCAAGGAAGTGAAATCCTGCCAACCCCTTGCAGACCGTTGCCTCGGATACCCCTGCAGCACTGGGTCCATGCAGTCAGGAGTACGGTGGATGCGTGAATCGAACCTTGTGCAAACGCAAGTGATGAATAACTCCCAATGTAAGGTCTTAAGATAGGAGTATGAAAAGCCTGTGAAGCTTCTCTAAGCAGAGACCTGCTGCCATTCCCTGTACTTGCCTTGGGGCATCTGTGCAGCTTCTGAACACGGGTCTCATTCAGCATCTCCCTTGGTACAGTAACTAAGACAAAGGCTTGCACCTGCCGACCCCTGAACCAGGGATAGGTTCTCTGGTCCAAGGACCCATTACCCCCTTAATGGACCAAAAACACCAATAATTCATAACCGAAATAATTTCATAATTGTAGAAGGATGTTTTCTCTGGTTCTGCTCTCACAAGGGCTTTTTCCTTCTGCCAGAACTGCTCCCAGTTACCCCCTTTTTACCCCATCTGAAGATGTGCACGCTCTCTCTCTCATTTCTTTTTCATGGAACATGCATTTTCATTGTCTCGCAAGTTAGTAATACTTTTCCATAGCAGTACAAATTTTCTTCCTTCTTTATTTGTATTGTTGACACTATTACAGATGTCCCCACTGCCCCCGCCACCTTTGCCCACCTCCATCCCCGGCCATCAGCACACTGTTGTCTGTGTCCACAGGTGGTACTTGCATGTTCTTTGTAGACCTTGCCTTAGAGCAGTTTTACGTTCCCAGACAAGAGTTCCCACACGCCCCTCACTCCCCACACAGCTTCTCCTACCGCTGTTATCATCTCACTCTAGTGGACGTGTACCCCCTGGTGACTTCCACCATTCCCTTTCCTCTCTTAGACATTGAATGTGCTTGATTTCCACCTCTCTTGTGGCCATTAGGTGAGATTTAACATCATTTCACCCATGCACCTTGTCCCTTTAAAGCACGGAGCCACTTTTTCAGCGTAAAAACGTGAGTATTGGTGAGTCTTACGCTGCCGTGCTGGCTGTGTTTCCAGATCCTGCTGATCATCGCCTCAGTCATCGGGATCATCGTGTACAGAGTGTCGGTGTTCTTTACCCTCTCCAAGGAAATGCTCCCGAGCGAGAACGGCACCGACCCGATCCAGAAGTACCTGACCCCGCACTTGGCCACGTCCATCACCGCCTCCCTCATCAACTTTGTCATCATCATGATTCTGAACATCATCTATGAAAAAGTGGCAATCATGATTACTGACTTTGGTAAGTTCCTACCAAGCTGAGGTCATTCCTAGGACATTTGAGAACCTGGTAAAGTTGGAGACTATCTTTCATGCATTTCAATCCCAGTATGTTACCATTGTTAGAAAATTTTAAGTGCAAACATATTTTCTCTAGCCCGTATGGGAAATGAATTATCTACAGCTCTGCATTAGCACAGGGGACAAAGCAAAGACAATCATTAGAATACCCAAGCATTGTGTAAACAGATCAGTGCTGAATAATGTTGTCAATTACATGACATCGTGTACCCTGTTGTTGAAAGAAAATAGTCTCTTTATTGCAAATAAGTGGAGTGGGGTCATGGTTCCAGTGGCCAACATGTCCCTCTGTTGCTGAGAGGACAGGCAGTCTTGCTGTTACATGTCCTCCCCCATTCTGTTCATATTAATAAAGCTCCGTCCTCATGAGCTCTGGCTTTTGTAATAAATGTAGCTTCTCTCTGGCTTGTATCCCAGGCAGCTGCTTTGTGGCCAAAGAAGTGCCTCCCACACACTGCATATGCCTGGGTCATTCTCCACACGGCCTGCTCAGGGGTCATGTTCTGAGAATGGTCAGCCCAGTCCGAATTCTCAGTCAGGAGGTGGCCTGTTTTGTCTCCCCCAAATGCTTCTAGCAAGGTGCCCCTTGTTCTCTTCAACATCCACCCTCGAAAAGACAGGAGAAAAACATTCTTGCCCATTTGATAACATTGTGCTTACAAAGTTTCAGGAACGGTGACTATTTTTTGCCATGTGGGATAGTATTTATGGAGGAGAAACTCTTATACCAATGTGTAAACTTGAATTAACACAGTAGCTATATTAAGGAGCTCAAGCCAACTTAAATGGAAACTGCGAATTGCATTTGTTAAGCATTTTAACTCATGTATCAGTGTCTTTGATTAGGGTCTCATAGCTGTTCACAGTTTTTAAAACTTAATTTTCTTTGCTTCAACTACAGAACTCCCAAGGACCCAGACCGATTATGAGAACAGCCTAACCATGAAGATGTTCTTATTCCAGTTTGTGAACTACTACTCTTCCTGTTTCTATATTGCATTCTTCAAGGGCAAATTTGTAGGTCATCCCGGAGACCTAGTTTATTGGCTAGGAAAATACAGAAATGAAGAGGTATGAATACAGACTTGAATTCTCTGGACAGTTTAGGCCATTTCGTGTTTTCTCCCAGTGGTCCAGTAAACAGTTTCTCCGTTGCGCTTTCTTAGATTGTTTTTTAGCCTAAAAAGAATATTAAGTAAATTAAAATAAGTGATTCTGTTTCATGTTAGAGCCATCTAAAATTTAAATGAGACTTCCTCTTTAATATTCCAGTGTGACCCAGGTGGCTGTCTCCTTGAACTGACAACGCAGCTGACAATAATCATGGGCGGAAAAGCAATCTGGAATAACATACAAGAGGTGCTCCTTCCGTGAGTACCAGTCGTGTGATCTGGGAGCTGGGACAGAGGGTCCCACTGCTCACCCGTCCAGGTCGTTTGCCCCCGTGTCCACCTGTCAGGTGGAGTAGGCCCCACAAAAGGTGGTCCCACCAACAACGTAGATGTGACTGTGTTTGTACCAAGTGAGCCCATAGCTACAAGTGTAGCAGCCCGAGCTTTGCCTTCCGATATTTCTGCTCCTGGTCTAAAATAGTTAAGCAGCGTTTTGAATGATCTTTCCCTTGTTTGAAAACTGGGAATGCAAAGTATTAGCCAGATTAGAGGGTGTCTCAGGTTCACTGCTGCTGCTGCTCTGTGTGTAGGGGACAGTCCCCTCTAACTCTCCATGCAAACCTGTAACATGCCGAAGGCACATTAGTTACTCTTGCTACCCAAGACTACACCCATCTCAAAAGTATGTAGGAAGGGAGAGAAAAGCCTTACAAGTCAGCAGCTGTGTTCAGGCCATTGAAGTATGTCCAAAGGAACACAGTGAAATGAATTCCACCGTAAACATTACTTCTTCCACCCCAACCCCACGCGGGGTCCGGGCGCGGATATTTGGAGTCAGCGAAGCAGCACACACCGAGCTGCAGTCTCGGTTCTGCAGGGTCTGTCCTGCACCCAGATCAGCACGTGGCGCTCAGTAGGCCCTCTCAGCACCGGTTGGGTGAATGCCTGTCTCATATGCTGCAAATCCATAACGTTAGTAAATTAATAGCTTGTTTATTGGATTCAGACAACAAGCTCAGAGGTCTTGGGCCTTCCTAGCCTCTTTTAGTATTTGAGGCATTCCTGAGGATTTTATTCTATACATACTTGACAAAAGGCTAGCATGATTTGTGCATTAAGCAACTCACTCTGGGGAAATTTTAAGGCAAAATGTTAAAGAAAATAATTAAAATTAAATATCCAGAGTGCCAACAGCATTGTCCTTTGGTCCAAATTTAGGTAAATGGATGGTGGTCATTTTCTTCCTTTATATGTTTTCTATATTTTCCATGATGGCTATGCACTGCTTTCCAGAAAAGTGAACTGTTATCTTGAGAAGGGATATTTTATGTGATTTGGTGAGAGGATGAAGCTACAGGTAGTGGAGGATGCTTGTGTGTGAAAACTAGCACGTGGGAATACTGTAGAATGTTCTAGCAGAAATCGAGATTATCCGCAGTCTGTGAGGTCTCTTCATTATCTGCAGTGATGAAGATACAAAGAGGAGACGAGGTATAAGTACTTCACACCACACTTCCAAGGATGGCCGACCTGTGGCCCACAACGGCTCTGGATGCGGCACAACACAAAATCATGAATTGATTTAAAACCCTTTTTTGCTCGTCAGTTTTCGTTAGTGTTTGTATATTTAATGTGTGGCCTAAGACAACTCTTCTTTCAGTGGGGCCCATAGATGCCAAAAGGTTGGACACTCCTGCAACCCCGAATGAGGACTTAGTAAAGGGCAGCTTATTACGGTGCTGCTTTGCTAATGTGCATGGTAAATCGCTAAGACAGTTATTTTGTAAGACCTGTTAGAGGGGAGGCGCTTTCAGCCCTGCCCAGGAGGTGTGATGTCTGGTGTATTTTAAAAAATTTCTCTAGGCAGGTCTCATGTGCAGTTAAGATTGCTGTCCCTGCACTAGAATCATAGCCCAGTAGAAAACCCTAAAGACCAAGGACCACGACACATGGACTACAACCTAAGGTTTCCTTCTGCAGATCAGTGGTTCCATTCAGAAAGACTGAGCAAGAGGCTTAGAGCCTGCAGCTCAGGAAGGAAAGCTTTCTGTAGTTCAGAAGGACGTCCCCGTGACCTGTGCCGAGTCAGGGAAGCCTGCACAGCACTTGAGGGAGGCGCAGGTGGCTGCCAGAATGGAAGCTTCCACCTGAATCCAAATTGTGATGGACTTGGGGCCCCGAAAGGAAAAGGCCTGCTTCTCTGGGCCACAGAGAGGACTCAGCCAGAGGCTGAGGCAGAGCAAAATATAAACTGGTTGAAACCAGTGGTCTCGAATTTGGAGATCATGAGGGTGATGGACATATTTGGTCCTTGATGCCACCTGCGTCACAAGGCCCCTGTACTATCCATAAAACTGGATTCACAGGCTTGACTGGCTACAGGACTTTGGGTTGAAGCCTAGGAGGCAGCACCAGCAGCTGGAGTTTTGTGGTGTTCTCACAAGTCCCAGAGTAAGACTCACCGATACAGACAGCACTGTGTCCCCAAGCCAAGGTTTTACCTAACTTAGGACAGAATTGGTCAAAAAAATAATCTCATGCAATAGGGTTCAGTGTATCAGGAAGTGTGCTAAATAAATGCTTTCCCTGTTTTGAGTCATTTAATCCTGACAGCAACCCTGGGCAGTATAGGTTTCATGACCCCATTATATTTGAAGTTGACCAGAGTCAAACAGTGACTAAGCAGTGAAGTGCGATTTAAGATTCAAGAGGTGTCTGAGTCCATAGCCCTGTGCTTTCCACGGCCTCCCGCTATGTCCCTAATGTCGTAGGAGACGGAAGTGGGGAAAGAGTGTGAAGGCAGCAGCATGTTGTGTTTAGAGAAATCTCCCCTTAGTAGACCTTGGGGAGCGGTCAGCGTAAAGTTGATGCTGCGGCCAGTTGCAGTGGGAATCCCAGCCCAGTGAGCCAGCTGTGAGCTGGCCACATCTGACACTGCATGTGTGTGCACACACAATACCTACAACTGCCCGTACCCCAGTGTGAGGCCTTCTCATTGTCCGAATGGGAAATCCATGCAAACGTGCTGTTCCAACAGCCACAGCTGTGTCAGGTGCTTGCCTCTGTGTTTGAAGTTTGTTATTGTGGCACCTCCTCTGATGAGCTCCACGAGGAAACCACCAGGCGCTGCTGCCCTCGGGACAAGGGTCCTCCGTGCCATAGGTGCAGGCCTCACGTCACTGCCATCTCCAATTTCTTCTCAGGACAAATTGCTGTAAAAATGGGGGAAGCATTTATCTGGGCCATGAGGCTCTGAGAAAGACAAACATAACAGAAAAGGGACAACAGACAGCCCACGGGCACAGGACCCAGTAGATGGTGACTTAGAGGAAAGATATCGTGTCTCTGGCCCTGACCTGCGCAGCTTAGACCAGGGTCTTAGACCTGTTACCACTCTGACCAGCCAGGGTACTGTCAGTACTGGTTTTCAAAATAGGGTCCAGCACAAGTAACACCCCTTTTTAACTACAAAAGCATAAGCATGTAATTCTGTAATGTAACAATATCACACCCAAGCACACCATATGGCATTTTAGGTGAAATGGTCAAGTTAAAACTCTAAATTAGCAAACCCATGTCATTACCCCACCAGCCACACTCGAGCAGGTGTTTCTTCTGCCGGACCCTGTGTTTTGGGGCAGGGGGTCCGAAGTAAACAGTTTAGTGTGAAAGTACAAAGTGAATTTATTGGGAAGATTATGTATTCAGCTTGAGATATCACAAAATACTTTTGTGACCTTGGTCTGATAATGTTCTAATTCACAATTTGATCTTTTTGGCAGCTGGGTCAAGAATCTATTTGGACGCTATTGCTCAGTTTCGGGCTCAGAAAAGATAACCCCGCGATGGGAGCAGGACTACCATCTGCAACTCATGGGCAGACTGGGATTATTTTATGAATATCTTGAAATGAGTAAGTTGTAAGTGACATTGTAGGTGGCATATATTATACTGGAGCATGTTAGGGGTCCCAAAAGTCATGATTATCAAGCCAAATAATTATTTAGCATATTGAAATGGGGCATGTTTTTCTCCACTAGATAATATGACACAATCAGGCTTTCAAGTAAGATGACTGTCTTTGTCAGTGTTTATGTTGTACACAGCTAACGCTCTTTTGCTGATGAAATGGAACAGTCATTGAGGTGCATCTTCACCATTGACTCCCACCACGTTCTAACCCTGCTGTCTGAGAACAAACTCAACTGTTATTAGAGGTGACTCAGTGTGGGCTGGAGGCCACGCAGGCACAGCTGTTGGCCAGAACACTTGCGAACCAAGTCCTGTACGCAAGCCTGAACAGAGCCCGTAGGAGGAGCATGTTGCTTCTAGTCATGGGGGTGATCACAGGGCCCCCCACGTTCCACACCTGCCTTTGACAGCATCCCTCTCCTCTGGCCCGTGGTCTCCCCCTGGTCCCTTGAGTGACCTCATGACTAATCACTGGCTTGAATTCAGAACCATTTTGCTGGTCTGGAATTAAGATTTAGCACAGGTGTCCTCCTCCTTGATCATCTTTGTTCATTTGTGGAGTGTTCACTTGAGCTCTGTTTCTCTTTTCAGTTGAACTTGAGCTCTCAGCTGCCTTTAAGTAGATGTATCTCAAAGTAGATTTCCATGAGAAATACCATCTTTTCCATTAGGGTGACACGCTTATATCTAATAGAAGGTTAACAATGTACATGTTTTGTATCTGTGCCCTTTCAGTAACCATTGCATTGAATTACAGTTTTTTTAAGCTTAGCAGAGTAGAAAAGGAGGCACAACATTTGGTTGACAGACCTTGCATTTATGCAAAGGGGTTTGTGTGTTTGCAGAGACACCCTTTTGTGTTTCCTGTTTACAAGCCTGCAGAGAGAGGGGGCGGCTTTTATTAAATCATTCTATATATAAAATAATTGCTTTTAAAAATATACATTATACATGGAAACACATCTGCTTCCTCTGGTAACTGAAAGGTCCGTCTTGTAGCTTCTTCAGTCAACAGTGCTTTGCAGCCTGGAGTCTGGTTTGAATTTCCTTTTTGCTTGTGTTATGTTTTGTGACCAGGTTCAACTAACAGTGTAGTTGCCGATCATAGTGCAGAGGTTGTATGTATTCTGTTTATTTTCCAAAGGACTTTCAAGATAATTGCCTGTTAGTCTAAAATAGTCATAATTACAAGTATTTCTTACGGAGCTATTATCAGCATTAGTAATAGCATTCTGGGGCAGAATATTATTTGTTATTTTAGCACCAAAAAAAACTTGGAAAGAGAAGTTATTTTCCTGCAGTTGATTAGTCAGAACAATGACATTGAGAGGAAAAGTGATGTTGTGTGTCGTTGTGTTTGGGGGAGAAGGTGGTCTGACTTTTAGAGGTTCCTAATCTCATTAAAATAATTTCCAACTAAATAATTCAGCCTCACCCCATTTTATAAGAAGAGGTGGATTAACAACTGTTATAAACAAATCTTTTTAGATTTATTGTTATTTTCCTATTATGCAGATAATACCTAATGAATTAGAAAATCAACTGCTAAGAGTAGGCAGTCTGTTATTCTGTATCAACTCCAGAATGAAATCTTTTTGTTGTTGTTGCTCTTTTAGTTTTGTGATAGGTAGGATTTCCAAGCGCCTTTTGAATTATTTTTGTTTTCTAAGATAAATGTCTTCGAGGGGGCCCACCACCAGTTTCTGCTCTCTTTCCATTTTCCCACATTCATTATGATGCCACCACCTACCTTTTTAATGATGAAGAGAAACCTCTTCCGACAAACAGCCCTGGCACTGCCCCCCCTTTGCTTAGGCCCTGCTCCTGGCCTCCTGCTCTGTTCCCCTTTGCCAGAAACACCTCCTTCTTCTCTTCTATTTGAGGAGTTCCTGCCAGGCCTCAGCAGTAACCCTCAGCTGTTCACGCAGACTAGCTGCTCTTTGCTCTCGGTGTTCACCCGACTCCTGCGTCGGTGCTCTGTGATGGTGCATGCGCCTCTCTCCCTGGCCGCACCAGTCCTATTGGGGGGAGCTAGCGACACCTTTGCATCTTCCAGTCCTGTGCTGGATGGAGCTCCACCGCCTGGACCCAGCCCTCATAAGTATTTATTCAGGTGACTTCAGCTTGGAGTTACAACGCACACACATACCACTGGGAGTTGAATTTCCATTAAGATTGCCCCGGCCGCCCCCACCAAGTTCCGTATGGCGTATGTGGCACATGTTTAGAGGGAGAATTTTTGAGTGAAATTTCTTTTTATTTAGCAAATTTCTCACCATCCTTTGAGATTGTTAGAGAAAGCCTGGGGTGCTAACCAAAGTTACCTCCCCAAATATATGGCCCTGACTTCTGAAATCTCAGACATGAGGCATAAGAGAAATAGTCCATCAGTCTTAAAATCCAGGGGCTGTAAGATAGCATTTTTTACGTGGAATGCTGCACCGACACCAGTGTCTGGGGGACTCGGAGAGGCCTCCCAGTGGGCACGCGCCCCAGGTGAAGTGCAGGAAAGTGATGAAGTGGCCCTCCTCAACCTAAAAATCTATTAAAACAGTGACCTCTGTTACTTTCTTCATTCAGTTTCCTGTAACTAATACAGTGACAGTGCCAACTGGCTGCTTGCACCACGCTCTGGCCTCTCCTCTCTGCAGGACTGTCCGCCCCACTCCCTCTGCTCTGACACTGCCTCGTCTTTGCAGGATGGGCTCTCCAAAGTGGAAAAAACACCGCAGCTGGGTAGCTCTTTTTTAAAAAAAAGCTTGTCTATGTATGTATAGATGTGTTTTTATATATATGTACACACAGAGATATGCACATACCCGTTGGCTTTTTAAAATTTGAGGTTAATAAAAAGCAAGGGGAAAAACATTCCACAGAGAAGGAAATGTTTGGCTGCATCAAAAGCTGCCTAGTGATCAAACAAACCAGAACCGAAATGTCCAGTGGCTCCGCATTACACAGCCACTGGCACAGTGAGCAAGGGGAGCCTCGGTGGCAGCGCAGGTGAGAGTTGCAGCGGGTCAAGGGCGGAGAGAAGGCCCCTGGAGGGTCCTCGGGGAACCTGTCAGGGGAAGCCGGGAGCACGGCAGGTGTCACAAAGGTTCCGGCGAGGGTTACTTTTGTTTTTCCAATGGGTACTTTTTGAATCTACTGATTCAAGTTTGGAGCGAATTTGACATATCACTTTTATCATGCATGAGAATCCCATGAACATCTGCATCTCTTCTTGAAGTCCGTTTAATTCCTACTCTTAACGCACCTGTTGTAAATCGTGTCAGTTATCACAGCATGATAATATGTGTTAATGTATCAGAGTTGGTCCTGTTTTAGTGTTTTTCAGAATGTCTCCAATACTGTCAGTTCAAACATCCCTTGTTATTGTATTTGTGTATATTTCTTGAAGAATTTTAGTATCGCCTTTTAGCTTTTCTTCCTTAAATTCATTTGGGATTATTAACTACATTTGCCTTTAAAATATAAATTAGAATTTGAGAGAAAAAAATTTTGATATATTTCCAAACTTGAGTCTACTCAAACCATCCACCATTTCTTCATTCAGCATTATTTGTTTTATTTTTTAAGTCATCATTAACAATCTTAACATCTCTCACCAATGTACTTCTAAATAGTCTGTGCCTTTGTTGTCATTATAAATGGTATCCTTTTTTTTATTTTTAGCTGAGTTTATTGCTAATATAGTCCTAATTTCTGGCTTCTCTTGAACAATGAGATCTGGGAACTGCAAGTGGCCCCTTTGATTAAGACACATACTTGCCAGCCCACCAAGGTGGACTGCGCCTGCCCCCCTGTTCTGCCCTGGCCCTGGAGGTAGGTGAGGTCATGTAGGGTCAAATGAGTCACAGATGCAGATAGTGACATGGCTGCTTGATGCTTTGCTGCTGACTCTGTGACATCACCAACTCTGGTCCTTGCTTATCTGATTTCCCTGAATCCGACCACACCTGTCTGCTTTTCCATAACACATCCTGGCCTCTGAGACTAGAAGCAATTTCCAGCTCCTCCTACCCGGCCACCCCTCCACAGTCTTGCTTTTCCTGGCTGGAGTGGGCCTGCCCCACCCCTAAGCAGTGGCCCTAAAAGAGCAGTACATTTTCCTCTCATCCACAGCCTTAGTTACATGCCCATACTTGTTTAAAGTTCTGCCAGTTTGGAGGGAAGGGTCTCAAACTGAAAAGTATAGTATAGCATACATCACATATACTAGGAGAAGAGAACCACTAAGCTGCCATTCGAATGTTGACCTAGCATGACCACGTGGACTACAACTTCAAGATCCAGACTCCCGAAGGAGGGTCATATTTTAACTTAAGACACTTCTCTCACATGCATGTCTGTGAAGTGTAGGAACACCTCCAGTTCTCTGAATGTGCTTTGCTTGCTCATGTACCCATTTGTGATTTCCTCAACATTCTCTATTGCACCGTCTTCCCAAAGGTGCATGCCTTACTTCTTTTTAACTTGTTAGATACTTCCACAGTATTTTTTTTTAATCCTTAATCACGCATCATCTTCCAATATTCTATTATTTCAACATGGAGAATGAATATATGCTTAGAGTGTCCCAAGTTCATTTGTCAGCAAATAACTTTGGCTAGTTATTTTTAAATATATTTTCTCTGTTAAGTGTATATGTGTGAAAAATAGTCATAATTCATCTTTTTCCTAGAGATCTCTGGGTATTTGTGTTTTGTTGAACATTATCAGTACCGTAGATGTCTGTTTTCTTTGGGGGTTTGCTGTTTGCCTTCCTCTTCCTGTGTGAGAGCGAAGGAAAATGTGTTGTCTTCCCATCCACCCACCGCTCCATGATGTGTGTCCATTTCATTGACAGTTATTCAGTTTGGGTTTGTCACCTTATTTGTGGCCTCTTTTCCACTGGCCCCTCTGTTGGCTCTGGTGAACAATATATTGGAAATAAGAGTGGACGCGTGGAAAATGACTACCCAGTATAGACGCATGGTGCCAGAAAAAGCCCAGGACATCGGAGCGTGGCAGCCCATCATGCAAGGAATAGCGATTCTGGCTGTGGTGACCAATGTGAGTAGAACCGAGGCTTCACAGGGTGAACACCCGACAGCGCACCGGCCTTGCTACCCGAGGAATCAGATGTTTGGGATTCCTTAAAACGGGAGAAAGGTGCCACGACTATTATCCATATAAACCACACGGTGGTACTACTTGCAACTTTTTTAAATGTACTTTGTTTATGATTATTACTTATGACCCCTTACATAGGTAGTTGCTAAGAAGAATAACCATTATATTACTGTTGCATGTTTGCTCAAGTTTTTATTCAGTAGTGTGGTCATAGGAATAAGAGTAAGTCCTGACTTTGACTCCTCACGTGACTGTAACAGGAGGTATCTGAGAGTGCTTTATACTGGAGATAGAAATCTATCCTTTCAGGGTGTGAGGACCCTAAAAGGACAGCCATCAATCCACCCTGTTTTAGCATCTATACCAAATCATCAGCTTAACATGTGAACTACTTGGTGATGAGGTATAAACACTTTATGCATTCAGTCAGTATTACCTTCCTTGTCTCCTAGGGCAGAGCTTCTTTAAGGAGGCAGGTTTAAGGAGGGTCTCATCTCTCATCCCCACCCCTTAGTCACTGAAAGGCACTCTGGTTATTAGCTACGCAGCCTCATGCCCTGGGTGCATCCCAGCTGTGAGGGAACAGAACTCACTCAGTTGTTCACCACCTGTACTGATCGTGGACCTGTCCGAACAGTCGGTCTCTTTATTCTCCCCCAGCCAATAGGGAGCTAGTGCTCAGGCAGACCAGCTCTCGTGGTGGCTCATCAGGGGGCCTTCTGCTGTAGCAAGTATCGCTACAACCAGGGCTGTTTCTTCTGATTTCACTCCCAGGCCAGTTCCCAACAGCATCATATCCCAGTTTTAATTTCTTCATCAAGCCCTGAGTCCCTAGCTTTTTCCCACAAGCACGTGCCAAAACAGAACAGAATCCGGCAGGGCCGTGGCTCAGGTTCCGGGACGGGAAGCTGCTGAGCACTGCTGACTCCGGGGTCAGCCGGGGGGCACCAGCCCCCAGCACAGCAGTGTCCCGCTGCACGGCCGCGGCCAGGCCTTAATTCACAGAGCCCATTTCATCCTTCGTGCATTGATGAATTCTCCGCCACACACTTTGAGAATATCAGGTACCACAAAGGGCGGTTAGGGAATTCAGCGAGCTAACGTGCGTAAGGCACAGAGCCCGGCCCTCATAGGGTGCCAGCTGCCGCTGCTTCTCCTCTTGCTCACTCGTCATCATCAGCAGTGACTCTGTGTCGGCTTTGACAGGTGTCTAAACTAAGGCACAAGAATTTCACAGTGTGTCACTGTGTGGGTGATGGTTGGTTACGGTTTCACACAGTAAAGCGAGTTACCTGGAAGCCAGCTATCACCCCAAGCACCCTCGATATATCTGAATTCCATGGTATTCCTCCTTTGTTGGAGAAAGTTCCAGATCACACGCAAAAAGCAACTACCAGGTAGTATCAGTTTCCATTCGTCCCGATAGCCCACACCTTCAGCGTCCACTGTGCTGCGAAATGAAGACGAATGTTTGGAAATATGTCAGCAAGGCCTTTCAGGTTCCACAGGCATAAGGGAATGAGTCTGTCATGTTCAATATGCTACACAATAGTAAGCGTGGCAGGAACGTGGACTTGGGCGCTGTGGGAAGATTTTCAGCAACAAGGTTGGAAACTGAAAGTTTTTGTCCGACCTTCAGCTAACCAGAAAATTCAATTGAGTCATACTCCCCATTCCTCAAGCGTCTGGTTTGATTGTGTTAGGGCACCTCTCCCTAGTATCCGCAGCCTGGCTCCACTCCACTAGCACAGATGGAGTATGGGCAGTGTTGCCAGGGCTGCTCTGTGTGTCTGAGGGTGTACACACAGAGGCGCGCAAATGCCCGCTCACTGGTGCCGCTGCCTCTTACCCGAGTAACTGAGGCCTTGTTTTCTTACACATAGACATCGTCCCCTCGCCCCATCTGGTGTGCGAAGGCTACCTTTCCGCAATGGGAGCACTTCAAACTGTAGGGAGAAGGGAATAGCTACCAGGGACGAGAATGGACAGTCAGCAGGAGTCTGGTTTACAGTCATTCATTTTAAAGCAGCTAGTTCAATAATAAGCTGAATTGACATCATTGTCCCGTGCCAGAGCATCAGCTATTGAAGACCAATTTTAATTTATTTTGATATAAATGGTGTTTGGAACAGCATGGGAAATGAAGCGCACTGAATTTATTTGTACTCTTGCAGCATGTCTCAAAAGCAGCTCAATTCAGGAGGAAAGAGTATCTTGTCAGAAGATAATAGAATTAACTTCCTTGTCAGAATTTTTGTAGCTCCCTAAAGCACATCTGGTGATTCTATAAAAAGCTATCGTTGAGTAAATTAACAAAAAATGTTAATCTGTTGAAATCTGGGGAAAATATTCTTGCATTACAGCACCCCCCACCACCACTGACAGGCAGGCACGGGCACACACACACAGTTCGTGGCAGAGGAAATGGCAAAGCTGGTTCCATAGGGGACATCTTGCCACAGAAAAGCCTCTTAGTTGTTTTTCCCGCTCTGCCTGAGATACTGTTCGTTGGCTTGTGGTCTCACTGTGTCTAAACCATATGTTCAGAAGACGACTATGAAAAACCATATTGTGCCCAAAAGATGTCTGTTCTTCTGCTTCGATAAATGACTAAATCAGGGAGCTTTGTTTATTCACACAGAATTTAGATTGAAAAATATTTTTTCCTTTTTTTCTTCCTTTAAACCAGTTTTATGCATTGGAAAGATGAAAGACAAAATTTAAAGACTTTTAGAGAAAATTCATGTGATGCATAATAATTTACAGCTGAATAGATATCGGCGCAGTTTAGACCCAGGTTTAAGTTTGACCCATATTTATTCCTTTAATCTGGAAACACGTTAAACTTTGTTACTTGATAGTTCTTATCCATTTAAACTTTTGGAAGTGTAGAGGCTTAGATACCAGATCTAACAATACAGACATCATTGCTTGACTATGTGAATGGAGCAACCCCCAATGTTTTTTATTGCTGTGTACATTTTAACAAAGTTTACTGGTTATTGCTCTTCAACCAAGCAGCATACATAAGTATATACTGGCAGTTTAAAATATAGCAGACTATAGGCTGACTTGTCTAAACAAGTGTGTAGAGCTCTGGCTGCTATGGCTCAGTGGATTGAGCACTGGCCTGCGAACCAAAGGGTCACCAGTTCAATTCCCAGTCAGGGCATGTGCCTGGGTTATAGGCCAGGTCACCAGTAGGGGATGTGCAAGAGGCAACCACACACTGATGTTTCTCCCCTCTCTAAAAATAAATTAAATCTTTAAGATAAATAAGTACGTGGATTCTATAGAGAAAAATGTATTAATTTATAGGCTATTATTAACTTAGATCAAGGAAAATGTATTTTATGCAATTTATATCCTATTTTTAAGTGGCAACTAATTAAAAATCAGTTTTATATTAACTATTTAAAGAGGAATTATATAAAACCAAATTATTTTTGGAATATTGATTTTAGTACTACATATACAAAAGGATCCTCTACATCAAAATCATAAAAGATTTAAATTATATTGACTAGAGCTCTAAGGTTGAATTTTGCTATATTCTATTTTTTAAAATAAAATTATACACATCACATGCAAGCAACTCTTGAGTTATCTACAATACCAGAGTCCACAATTACTCATAACAGGTTGCTTTTGAACTGCAGAAAGTCTTCGGGACATTTCTTAGGATTGAAGACCAAATGGAAAGTGTTCTACTTTAAAGCAGCTGCTCAAAGACTCCAGGATATTCACTGCCTGTATCCATTGGTTATAGATATAGTTAGGAAAGAATTAAGATTTCTGAATCTTTAATTTTAAAAACAATCGACTGACGAACATGTGATTCTGGCCTGTTTGTTAACATAGCTGAAAAGGCTCTAACTTAATGCCCCTCTCTTGTTTCCCTCCCCATACAGGCCATGATTATTGCTTTCACGTCAGACATGATCCCCCGCCTGGTGTATTACTGGTCCTTCTCTATCCCCCCCTATGGGACCCACGCCCACCATACCATGGAGGGGTACATCAACAACTCTCTCTCCGTCTTCAATGTCGCAGACTTCCAAAACAGAAGCTTGGAAAATCCATACTCTAGGCGTGGTAACTATACCACATGCAGGCAAGTTCCCCTTATGTGTTTAGGAGAAAAGTCTTAGAAATGAGGAGACTAAGAGTTCCAAAAAGCAAAAATAATTCATTTGTTAAGGCTGTGTTATTCAAGCACAGCATGACAACATTGAGTGATGACAAACTGGCGCCCTCACTTAGCAAAGAAATGCGAATACCTCTGCCTCCCCACCGAAGCACTCTGCATTGATTTTAATAGCTGGTCATATCCGCTGTGGACAATATACTTAAACTAAATCACCAGTTGATGAAGTCAGTTGACTATATGTCGAGTGTTTTTGTTCACTCAGAGTCTTAAACCTAAAGGAGGATTTAAAATTTATTTAGTTCCACTCTTCAAAGTGTTCTTTGATTCAGATTCTTAACAACATAACCAAGAAACCAGAAATAAGCCCCAAATAAATGTTTCAAAGTTACACATTGTAGAGCCTCTTCAGAATTCCGCATTGAATCTGCTTTAACTCCCAAGAGTGATTACACTCTTCTAGGTCTAATAGGTCACAGGAAGGACATTGGAGATATGCCACCTGAGGGAGAGACACCGACAGCAGTAGCTCATGACACCTGACAACAAAGAAATTAGCAAGGAAATTTTAACATGTACAAGAGGCACTCTCCGTAGGGGAGAGAGCCCCACAGCCGAGTGAGCCCTGATGACACCATTACATAAATTTATAGGCATGTTTCTGAAAATACACTCAATTGTTTTAGTTATACTTTTGAGAAAGCAAGGATAAAACTCTGGTAAAATAAATTTAAGAATCTTTTGTTTTCTTTGTACAAAGATGAAATCTGTCATCGCCATCATTTTCCTATTGCATGTTAAGTTTTGCTGGAATAGTATTTCAGGGTTTTGTTACCCTGAATTAAACCCTTGGAGATCATCGATGTGATGTCCAATTTTTAAAAAATCATTGTATTAAATATGACCTGTCTGTAATGAGCACTTTTTTATAGAATTTGATCAAAAACAATGACCTCCTGCTCCGCCTCTGTTCCATTCCCAGGTACCGAGACTTCCGGAACCCCCCCGGACACCCACAGGAGTACAGACACAACATCTACTACTGGCACGTGCTCGCCGCCAAGCTGGCTTTCATCATCGTCATGGAGGTAGGCGAGGTGCACGCACTCGGAAATGGTCCGTGAGGCAGTGCATTTGCATACCTTTATGCGTTGCCAGCTCTGATTTAAAATGTGCAGTACGCTCTTATCTCATGCTAATAATTACTTTAGGACATTTACTAATCAAATTTGACCTGAGAGTACCCATAAAGCTTCCATTAATTAAAGGAAGTTGCTTATCTGCTGTAAAAGTTAAAAGCGTGTTGTATGCTAAAGGGATCCCGTTCTTTCCAGTTCTGTAGCAATTGTTGGTAGGGGGACACGGGGCTACATGTTAGGCAGAGGAGGACCTTATTCAAAATCAGTAAGTTGTGATCTCTGCCCCTGAGAAACTTATTGCTCTCATAGTATTATTTGTGTTGTTTTTATTGATTTTCATAATAAACCTTTTTATATGTTTATATCCCTAAAATATATAAAACTATTCCTGAAGTACAGTAGCTGGTACACAGCAAGACTCACTGATTATATTCCGATAGATAGTTATCGAAGTGGTTAGACTCCTGCTTTTGAGGTCATGCTGGCCTAGATCCCATGAGGGCTATCTCTCTGTAAAACATTTAGAATCAGCTTAAAACATGGTTTCCTTTGCATTTGTTGAGCTCACTAGAAGGGAGGAGAGTCTACAAAGAGGAAAGAGGAAAACAGGTGATAAGCTAAAATGAAGTGGTGGGCTGTAGGCGCGCCTGGCGTTCAGGAGCACTTGGAGAACAAGTGCTGTTAACAGTGTCTCCAGCTAAAAGCTCAGGGAGACCAGGATGGGGGGGTGGAAGCAGGCGGAACAGCTGAGCTTGAGCCTCTGGAATTCAGCTAGGGGTCCCAAAAAAACGTCTCAGGCAGAAGTAAACGTATCTCTCCTTTGGAGAAAGGTGCCCTCGATGTGGATGCCAGATTTTTCTCAAATTGAAATCATCAGAAACAAGTTTAAAATCAAAGATTAACAGGCATTCCAGTCACTGTGGCAACAGGCGTAAGTGCAGTCGTCTCCTCCCCACAACCACTTCAAAACTATAAAACTAGAACGGCCATCACTGGGGACCACCTGAAGTCTAGCTGAACAGAAGTCCTGTAACTAAAGATACAGAGAACAAGCCTCAGTGACACTGACAGGAGGGGCAGGGACATGGAATCCACTGGTCCTGCACCCAGGCACAGCAGATAAAAATAAAGAGGGATACCTCAACTGTGGGGGTCCCCTCTGAGGAGCCAGGGATGCCAGCCCCACACTGGGCCCCCATCCCAGTGTTTCCAGTGCCAGGTAGTCCCCAAAACTTACGGCTATAAAAACCAGCAGGGATTTTGACTGAATGACACGGAGAGCTGCTTGTCTCGAGGGTTTCTCTTAAAGGGTCAACATGGACTCACTTGCTTTGAGATCAAGTGCTGGGGCATCAAAGACATACCCAGAGGAACTGAATTGTGTAGCATCAGAGCAAGAGCTGAAAGGCAACTTTCTCCCACACTGAATTGTTAACAAAAGCCACCACGCCTTTGCTGAGCCCACCCCGCCTCAGGTGCAGACTGATGTCATGAGTTTCCATGAACCTAACACTGTTCTGCTTTGCTGACTCCCCGAGACCTACCCCCACCCCACCCCCAAGCCGAGTCTAGTTGCTTTTCCATTACAAGTGGCCTGTTCTGGTTCATGCTGCAAACTTTCCTAAAATCTCTCAAAGTTTCACCAATCCCAGACAAGTAGCATCTGGCCTCAGTGTACCCCATATATTGCGCTAAGTGGCCCTGGGCACAGGCAGCAGCTGACTTTGGCTTGCACCCTCCCAAGAGACCCCAGAAGCAGCACACCCCATGACCAGCCTCAGATGACACCAGACCACCACCCAACCACCTCCACAAATGACACACTTAAAAGTCCGACCCTGCAGGCACCAGAGCCCCACTGAAGCGAATCCTGGTACACAGGGTTGGCCCCCGCACAACAGCTCCTCTACTGTAGTTACTGCCAGTCCTTACAACCAGTCAGCCTGCAGGTTAGTTTATCCAAAGAGCAAACAAGGCTCAACTACAACAGGAGGGTACACACAAACCCACAAGGAACATACCCAGGTCAGGTGACAAGGGAGACTGCGCCTCATAGGACCCCAACTACTTAAGGCCACTCTGCCAAGATGGGGAGATGTAACAGCTCTACCTAATATGTAGAAAAAAAACACAGGGAGTCAGCCAAAGTGAGGAGATAAAGAAACATGCCCCAAATGATAGAACAGGAGATAGCTCCAGGAAAAGAACTAAATGAAATGGAGGCAAGCAGAATTTAAAACAATGGCTACCAGAATGCTCAAGGAGTGTAGTGAGAACTTACACAGCATAAAAGAGGACATAGAAATGACCAAAACTAACCAGTCAGAAATGAAGAATGTAATAACTAAAATGAAGAATACATTAGAGGGAATCAAAAGTAGAATACATGAAGCAGAGGTTTGTTTCAGCGACTTGGAATACAAGGGAGCAGAAAACACCCAGTCAGAACAGCAAAAAGAAAAAAAGAATCTAAAAAATGAGGATACTGTAAGGAGCTTCTGTGACAACATCAAGCAGCCAACATTCACATCAGGGTGCCAAAAGAAGAGAAAGAGCAAGGAATTAGAAACCCATCTGAAGTAATAATGACAGAAAACTTCCTAATCTAGTGAAGAAAATAGGCAAACAAGCCCAGGAAGCACAAAGAGTCTCAACAAGAGGAAACCAAAGAGGCCCACACCAAGACACATCATAATTAAAATGCCAGTGGTTAAAGACAGAGAAAGAACCTTAAAATCAGCCAGAGAAAAGCAGTTAGGGAGCTCCCAAAAGACTGTCAGCTGATTTCTCAACAGAAACTGCAGGCTATAGGTATGGCATGAGATATTCAAAGTATTAGAGATATTCATGAGATATTCAAAACATCCTTGCATGAGGAAAAGGACCTACCACCAAGATTACACAGCAAAACTATCATTTTGAATTGAAGGACAAATAAAGAGTTTCCTAAAACAAGGAAAAACTAAAGGACTAACAAATCATTGTTTAAAAGAAAAAAAACAAAGTGGCTTCTTTAAGTGAAAGACGAAAACAAGATAAAAAATATGAGTAATAGAATGGTCATAACTACATATCTATCAATAATTACTTTAAACATAAATGGATTGAATGCTCTAATCAAAAGACATACAGCAGCTGAACAAATAACAATAAAACCCTCACATATGCTGCCTACAGGAGACTCACTTCAGACTCACTTCATAAGACACACACAAAGCCTGAAAAACAGGGATGGAAAAAGGTATTTCATGACAACAGAAACAAAATGCTGGGGTAGCAATACTTATACCACACAAATTAGACTTTAGGACAGAGGCTATAACGAGAGGAAGAAGGACCCAGCAATTTCACTTCTGGGTACTTATCTGAAGAAACCCAAAACACTAAAACGTAAAAACATAAGCACTCATATGTTCATTGCAGCATTGTTTACAATAGCCACAGTATGGAAGCAACCTAGGTGTCCATCAATAGATGAGTGGATAAAGAAGTGGTGTATACGTACAAAGGAATATGAGTCGGCCATAAAAAAGAATGGAGTTTTGCCATCTGCAAAAATATGGACAGATCTAGAGTACAGGTGGCAAACACAAGGCCCAGAGGCCAAATCCAGCCCTCCACCTTGTTTCTACCTGGCAGCAGCACCCAGCTCTCACTTAACTGTTAAGGAGTAGTTACATTTATACAGTCCTAAAATTACATTCGGCCCTTTGAAGGCAGCCGTGAGGCTGATGTGGCCCCCAGGGAAGATGAGTTTGACACCCCTGACCGAGAGGGTATTTTGCTGAGTGAAATCAGTCAGAGGAAGATACATACCATATGATTTCACTTATATGTGGAATCTAAAAAGCCAAAACAAGTAGAACAGAAAGACTCATAGATATAGAGGTTGCTAGGTGGGAGGGTGAAAAAGGTGAAGGGATTAAGTACAAAACAGCTACCAGTAGTCATGGGGATGTCAAGTACAGCACTGGGAGCATAGCAAGTAATATTGTAAAACTATGTATGGTGCCAGGTAGGTACTAGATTTGTCAGGGTGATTGTAAGTTATATAAATGTCTAATCAATGTTGTACACCTAATATTGTGTGTCAACTGTAATTGAAAATTTAAAAAAATATTTAAATAATGCACCTCTACAAGAAGAGAAAAAAGACAAAAAGCAAAACAAAAGATTAACAATAATTAATGGAAATAGAAAAAGATGTAAGATTGAGCAAAAAAAACTGATTTAAACCACTAATAACTTAAAAATTTGAATTATCAAATAAGGAACATAAATCAACTGTATATGAAAATGTTTAGTGCTCGCTTCGGCAGCACATATACTAAAATTGGAACGATACAGAGAAGATTAGCATGGCCCCTGCGCAAGCATGACACGCAAATTCGTGAAGCGTTCCATATTTTTTAAAGATAGCCTCTTCAACAAATGGTGTTGGGAGAACTGGATAGCTATGTGCAAAAAAATGAAACTTGAGCACAGACTTACACCATACACCAAAATAAATTCAAGGTGGATAAAAGACTTAAATGTAAGTCATAACACCATTAAAGTCCTAGAGGAGAACATTGGCAAGAAAATCTCAGATATTTCACGCAGCAACTTCTTTACTGATATGTCCCCTAGAGTAAGGAATGTAAAGGAAAGAATAAACAAATGGGATCTCATCAAAATAAAAAGCTTCTGCATGGCTAAAGAAAACAGTATTAAATTAGCAAGACAACCAACTGTATGGGAAAACATATTTGCCAATGATACCTCAGACAAAGGTTTAATCTCTAAAATATACAAAGAACTTACACGACTCCACTCTAAGAAGACACCCAACCCAATTAGAAAATGGGAAAAGGACTTGAACAAACACATCTCCAAGGAGGACATACAGAACATTCAGAGACACATGAAGAGATGCTCAATATCATTAGCTATCAGAGAAATGCAAATTAAAACCACAATGAGATGCCACTTTACACCAGTCAGGATGGCTATCATAAACAAAGCAACAAACAACAAATGTTGGAGGGGTTGTGGGGAAAAGGGGTCCTTAGTTCACTGTTGGTGGGAGTGCAGACTGGTACAACCATTATGGAAAACAGTATGGATTTTTCTCAGAAAAATAAAAATCGACCTGCCTTTTGACCCAGCAATTCCACTGCTGGGATTATATCCTAAGAATCCTAAAACATCAATATCAAAGAACCTATGCACCACAATGTTCATAGCAGCACAATTTACAATAGCCAAGAGTTGGAAGCAACCTAGGTGCCCATCAGTAAATGAATGGATCCAAAAATTGTGGTACATATACACAATGGAATTCTATGCTGCAGAGAGAAAGAAGGAGCTACTACCATTTGCAACAACATGGATGGAACTGGAAAGCATTATGCTGAGTGAAATAGGCCAGGTGCTGAAAGACAAATACCATATGATCTCACCTTTAACAGGAAGCTAAACAACAAAACAAACAAGCAAGCAGAAACAAACAAACAAACAAACTAAGACACTGAAATAGAGAACAAGGGGACAGTGACCAGAGGGGAGAGGGAAGGGAAGTTAAGGGGAAAAAGGGGGAGGGATTTAGAGGAACAAATAGGAAGGACACAGGGACGAGAACTAAGGGGGGGTGGAAATGGGAGGGAGGTGGGGAGCAAGGGGCGGGGGAGGCTGGGATGGGAAAAATAGACAAAAAACTGTACTTGAAAAATAACTAAATAAAATTTAAAAAAGAAAAAAAAAGAATTTAAAAAAAAAAGAAAATGTTTAAACAAATAAATGACAGTCAAAAAAGATCAAACACTAAGAACTAAAAAAAATCACAGTGCATTTTTGAAAAATAATTTTATAGAACTTTGAGAAATGAAAATATTATAGTTGTTGAAATGAAAAATTAACAAGGATTAAACAGAAGTTTAGGCAAATCAGAGGAAAGGATTAGTGAACTTGGACATAGGTCTGAAAAAGTTACCCCTAACACGTGGCAGGGAGGTAAGAAAATGGAAACTATGAAAGAGAGGTTAAGCAATACGGAAGATAAAATGAAAAGAACAAACTTTCAAAAAAAATCATAGGAGCAAAAAAAAATTGGATAGTGAAGGAGAGGCAATATTCAAAGACTTAATTACCAAAATTTTTTTAGAACAAATGAACATCTGTTCACAGAACAGAAGGCACAAAAAATACCGAGCAGAACAGATAAATCCACACTGACACACATTGTAAGGGAAATGCAGTACCAAATTGAAGATCTTAAATGTAACGACAGATAGATGACTAAGATAGATAAAGAAAATTAGAAAATTAGAATGAGAGTAAACTTTTTAACAGCACCATGGAAGCCATAAAATAATCTAATATCTTTAAAATGCTAATGGTCACTATAAATGTAGAATTAAATGAAACTTTGAGTAACTGAAAAGTCTTTCTGCAATGAAAACACCAGACCATATGGTTTTATACAAGATACCAGACTTTCTAAACAAATTACTTCAACCTCATACTAACTTTTGCAGAGATCGCTAAAGGGAAATACTCTTCAACTCCTTTTAGATCCTAAAATCAGACAAGAGGAAGGAAAATTATAAGCCAGTCTCACTCATTACATAGATACAAAGAGTCAGAATCTTTTTAAAATGTACAGACTGACTGAAGCAATGTATTTTTAAAAGATGACATCAAACCATGTTGACGTTATCACAGGAACACAAGGGAGGTGTAACAGAAAATCCACATATCTATGAATATCACCTACCTTGGCAACAGATGGGAAAAGAACCTCTTTCCTACAACAACTTTTGTGTTTTATTGTATAATTTCCAATGCTGATTTCTCTCTCATCTCAAAATATTCCCCACCCTCCCATTACCTAACTGGTCAGAAGCATTTGGCACTGCCAGTCACTCTCTCTTCCTTGAAATTCTTCCTCACTTGGCTCCCAGGAAAATGTTTTTTTGCCTTTCCTTCTACCCCACTAAGCAGTCTCTTCTTAATTTCTTTACAAGCCCCTTCCTTCTCACATCCTTAGTGATCCTGGGGCTCATTCCTTGTCTGCTTTTCTCTCTACTCACAGCCTTGGTGATCTCACGTGGTCCGTTGGCTTTCAAGGCCACATAACCACTCCTCACCAGTGGGTATCTCCAAAACACCTCTCCCCCGAACTAAGCCCATGAATCCAACTGCCTCCTTGGCCTTTCTGCTTGGCTGACTAACAGATACCTTAAATATGCTGCCCCAAATTCCTGTTGGCTTAAATTTGTTTCTAATGTTCTGCTCCCTACCCTGCCCTAAATCTGTTCTGTCACAGACCTGAGACATTACGCCATGGATTATGGTAATTCTGTCTCACCAGTTGCTCAGGCCAGAATTCTTGGAACCCTCTTTACTTTTTTCTTCCCTATTTACCCCACACATCCATTGCTCTTGGCTTTTCCTTTGAAAATACATCACAGATATGACCACTTCTTACCAATTCTGCTTACCAACTCCACCACCCAAATCAAAGCCACCAGTATTTTTTGGCCTGGCTTAGCCCAGCATTCTTCTAACTGGTCTCCTTACTGTCATCATGTCTCACTCAGAATGAAAACCAAAGGCCTTACACAGTGTAGCCACACTCTGTTACTTCCCTATTTTCACTCCTGCTCCTTGCTCGTTCACTTCAGCTTGCCCTTCCTGGACCACATCCTGTGGGCTCCACTGTGTAGACTCTGCACTGGCTATTCCCTTTGCCCACAGGTCTTTGCTCCCGACATCTGCAGGGCTCATCCCCTCCCTCATTAAAGTTTTTGCTCACTGAGGCGTATCCAGCTAATCTACTTACAAAATATGCCTCCCACCATTACACTCAGATTCACTCTTACCCTGCTTTGCTATTTACCCATAGCTCTTACCACTCTTTAATACCATGTATAATTTATCTTTAATTATGTTTATTGTATATTATCTCTGTCCCCTTACTAGGTCAGAGATTTTTGAATAATGAATAAAGAAAAAGGTGTTCAACCTCATTCATCACCGGGGAAATGCAGAGGCAGGCTCAAGTGAAAGTCCATTTCATAATCACTGTGTTGGTTAAAGAAAAGGGAGGCCTGATAACAAGTGCAGACAAAGATGTGGAGCAACTGGAGCCGCCGTACAGTGTGAGCTCGGGCAGACAGCTGCTTCGGGAGGTCCCTGCAGCCCTCTGTGACACAGAGCGAGCGCGGACCGTGGGGTCTCAGCGGTTCCATCCCCAACATCAGTGTTTCTAGTACGAAGACTGGAAACAAGCCCAGTACCTTTGTAGGGAAATGAGTCATTTATACTGTCTTCAAACAGCAGAATATTATACGGAAGTGAAAATGGACCACAGTTATACACAGTAATATGGATGAATCTTAGAAACTAGCTTGGTTTTTTAAAGATATTTATCTTTAGAGGGGAAGGGAAGGAGAGAGGGAGAGAAATACCAATGTATGGTTGCCTTTCGTGCGCCCCCTGCTGGGAACTGGCCTGCAACCGAGGCATGTGCCCTGACTGAGAACTGAACCACGATCCTTTGGTTGGCAGGCCCATGCTCAATCCACTGAGCTACGCCAGCCAGGGAGAAACTAGTTTTGAATGAAAAAAATTATTTTTCAAAATACTGTATACGATATCATATTATGAGAGTTATAAAGCTCAAATCAAGCAAGACTAAACAATGTATTATTTGGGGGTATGTAAGTATTTATATATATTTATATATAATAAACCTTTCAAAAGTAAAAAACAATGATATACTTGCACAGATAGTGTTTACCTTTGGGGAAGAGGCTTGGGAACAAGACAAGAAAGGAACACGCTACAGCAAAACTACTAGAGCACTGTTAGTGTTGCGGTGAGTGTTACAGATACTAGATACATTCTTTTCTACACATCAAATAGTATTCTGAAATTTATAAAGTAACAACACTCCTTGGCAACGCCCCCTCACAGGGGAGAGACCGGATGTACATGTGGAATGCCCACCACCTGGTCCAGGTGCCCTGCCATAGTGACCTGCAGAAGGAAATGTAACGGCCTCTGTGTTCCCCTCCGTGCCTTTGTGACTGACTGTTTTCTTCTTCTCTCCTTCAGCATATCATCTACTCTGTGAAATTCTTCATTTCGTATGCAATTCCAGACGTATCAAAAAGCACGCAGAGCAAGATCAAGAGAGAAAAATACCTAACCCAAAAGCTTCTTCATGAGAACCACCTCAAAGACATGACCAAAAGTATGGGCGTCCTAGCTGAGAGCATAATAGGAGTCGTAGATAACAATTTACGACCAAAAGTAGAGTAAGAGCCTTAGGTTCTGAGAAGCACTTTAAAGAACTTTGTCAAAAAATATTAATCTCCAGTGAAAACGCTTAAAACCACCCTCCTAAAGTAAAATGGATACTTTTTTCTTTGATGATTTTTAGGGAGTGTTTCATTTTTTCACTTTGCCAACTCTGTTCCAGGGGTATCTTTCCCTTCTACGTCGTCATTAAAGACATGCTAGATTTTGCATGATTAAAAAACGCTAACATGGAATTCAGCTAGTAAGTGGCAAACAGACTCAAGAATTCACGCTATATAGATGTATTATCACATCCCCACAGGAGAGGAAACCTCAGTCTACAGGAAACACTGTCGGCCTCCATTTCGGCCTCTCTTTCCAACTCAAAGAAGTGCCCTGAACGGAGTACAGTGAAGATAGCGAGTTTCCGAAGCACGTTGTGCTAATCCACAGTGACACTTGTGTCTCCCAGGAGCAGTCCTAGAATGTTCTGTGCCAGTCAATGTTGGCTGCTCCCCAAGTCCGAAGGGAGTAAGATGACGAAAGCAGGGAAGTTACAGATTCAATAGAACTGATTCCTATTGATCAGGATAATTAATTTACCTCTTGTAAAGATGTGTAGTTTCTTGAAAAAAAATGAAATCGAGTAATTAAAATTGCATTTCTATCAACATAATGGTCTGGAAAAGATAAGCCCACCAGCTTCCCTCCAGCTGCCCTTTACTCGTGACTGCAGTGTGCACAGCACAGCAGATCAGGCGCCCCGCGCATGGCCCGCTGCACAGCCCTGTGACCCAGTGGTTAAGGGAACACCGAGTCCCCTGATAGGGAGCCACACTTGTCCCTGTATGAGGGCCACCGTTTGGCAGGCCTTCTGCGTGTCCTTGCGGTCAGCATACCGATGCATCTGCCCTGCTAGCTAGCTCCTCGCACCCTCCGCTCTCCGAGTCCCAACCCAGCAGCATGTTTGCCCCCGGAAGCGTTGTGGGGGGTGGACACAGATCATTCCCAATGAAGACAAGACTGGGTATAATTTGCCCTTCCAGCCTCCCTAAGTCCAGTCAGGCATTTAGAGTAAGAAAAAACAGTGGTTTGGTCACAAACCATGCCATCAGCTGGGGGTCAGTTCCTGCTGAGCTCCTGACCACGCCCATCTTGCCCTTGATTTGTTCAGCTGAGCAGCCTTTACAGCGCTTTACTGCCTTTCAGGTGCTAGGCCCTCTGGGAAACTCGAGAGAAGATTCGGGGCCCTCGCTCCTCACCCTTGACTGGTGACAGGAGTGCAGGAGAGGGAGTCTGGCGCAGGGTTTGGACGGGCCACCACTCACTGGGGTGCTGCTGAATGCCCAGGTGCACGGGAGCCAAGCCACTCTGAACCCCAGCAGCAAAAGACAAGGCAACACGTTTAGTGTTTAAGGCTTGTTATAACAGGGTAGTCTAACTCCAGGACTTATGTACAATTCATCAGAGCAGTATCTGCACTTTTGAATTGTCCCAGTAGAGCAAGGACAGCATTTCACTCACTTTCTTGATAGTGGTGATGATGTGATCAGAAAGTGTTCGTGACAGGCTGTGTGAGGTCTGACTGCTCACCTGTGACACCGCTGCTCCTGGAAGTGGCGTTGCCTCCTCTCGAATTACCTCTGCTCTCCTCTGAACTCAGCGACTCTCCTACTGTTGGACTTGGCAGTTACTCATTGCATATGGAAGCATGGAAGAGGAAATGTTTTTGCCTTATCTCTTTGTATATAAAACTTTAAAAGAATTGTGTACTTACGTCTTCATAAACCACCTTTCACACATCGCCTTCGTGGTCTAAACTGAGCTTCTGTGGACAGGAGGGACAAACCTACCCTTTTCGTGGCAGCGGGTGAGGTGCGACACTGCCTGTGTTCCCCGAGCGCCTGAGCGGCAGGGAGGCCAGGCGTCACCGTGACACCCCACTGTTCACGTCAGCCTAGTGCCGACTTGTCCATCGAGAAAGGGTGGGGCCGCTTCTGCAGCAGTTAGGGACAGCTCTGTCACCACACGCAGGCAGTGCCCCAGGGGACAGGCGTGTGGCCGTGGGCCGGTGAAGGGAAAATCGGGTCCCACACCTGCCCGGCGTCAACCACTAGAGACATTTTCACGTTACGCCCTTTTGTAATGCCTGTGACTTAATAGAGTGAAGCCTTAGACCAAAACACTCAGGGGATTTTTTTTTTCTTTAAATACCCCTCATTTTTTAATTAGGTCAGTAGAAGGGGAAAGCTGTCACTTTTTGTTTGAAAACTTAAACAAGGCCGTCTTGTACACGGTTGTCGCCAGAGCCTTCCCTTCCGGTTGCATACGCATCTTGAGTTTCAGAAAACATTAGTTCACAGTAGGGGGGCAGCATGCGCCATTTCTGAAACACTTCTTGTACCATTGTGTCGTGTTTCTATTGTATTTAAAGATTTTAGTAAGTTGAAATGTATGAGTAGCTTAACTAACGTAGAACTGAAACATTAATAGCGCTCTTCATACACTGTGGCAAAGGATGTAAAGTTTGTAATGTTTTGTGATCTCTGTGCATTTTAATACCCTTTTATAATAATGAGCATTTTAATAAAATCATTTAAAAAGCACTACTGTGGTTTACTCTTATCGTCATGTTTTTAAGAGAGCCAATATATACCTGCTAGTTACCAGTTATCACTCAGATAACATGTGCACTTTTATGTAGATTACATCTAAAATTATATATTTTTCACAGCGTATACTTCCTTTGAAACATGGTCTTCCTAGAAAAGTTGGGGTTGGGGACTCAACCAGGGCTGCTGCAGGCAGTTACTGGGACCGAACCCGGCACAGGGCACCAAGGCCAGAGAGCAGGCAGGAGCGAAAACCCGCCCACCTCAGCTCCCCACGCTGGCCGGGTGCACCGGTGTGCAGCTGCACCGGCTCTGGGGGTGACGTGCTTCCTCTAACTACGTAAAGAGGCCGCCTGATCGCTCAGCCGTGTCGCAGGGCCAGTGTCACCAGAGAGGACAAGTTTCTGTAGGTCCCAGAAAGGTTCTGTTCAGGTCAGTCAATGCCCTGGGTGCAGAAGGAGCAATCATGGAGAATACAGAATATAAAGGACAATCTCATTAAAAAATTAAGTTTTTAAAGAACTTCTAGACAGTACAAAATCCAGATTTTAACTCATTTCATCCTTTTTTTTTTCGACCAACTTGAATTTTATTAGGCTTCCAATCAAACTATAAGTCCAATACAGTCCTTAACTGAACAAGCAGGAAGAAACCATTTCTCATCCCTAAGTAATGCTTTTGGGACAAGTACTAATAATGTTATTCTTCCCTTCAAGCATTTTAAGTCCAGCAGGGAGACAACTAGTAGTTCATTTAAGCACAGTGCCCCCTTCTCATGTGGGGGAATGATGAGGCCTTAAACACGGTGGTTCCCCTTTATCCAGGGTTTCACTTTCCATGGTTTCAGTTACACACGGGCAACTGTGGTCTGAAAACATTAAATGGAAAATTCCAGAAATAAACAATTCATAAGATTTAAATCACATGCCCCGGGACATGAATCATTCCTTTGTCCGGGGTCTCCGTGCCGTACATGCCGCCGCCCATTAATCACTAAGTAGCCACCGTGGTTATCAGACGTAGGCTGAGGCACCACAGCGCCCGTGCTCGGCTAAGCCTTATTCTACTGAAAGCCCAAGCAGAGTGGTGCTGGCAATTCAGATCTGCCAAAGAGAATCCTTGAAGTGCTTCCTTTGGATGAGAAGGGGGAAGTTCTCAATAAAGAGGAAAAAAATGTTCACTGAGGTTATTAAATCTCTGGTGAAAATGAATCCTCTATCTATGAAACTGAGCAAGGAAAACAAACTTGCCAGATCGCTGAGGCAGAGACCATAGCTACATTACTTATTACAATACTTTGTTAGTTGTTCTATTTGATTCTTTGTTATTGTCAATCTCTTACTGTGCCTAATTTACAAATTAAACTTTACCATAGATATGTATAGGGAGAAAACAGACAGCATTCAGTACTAAAAACATAGTATGTATGTACAGGGTTCGATACAACCCAAGGTTTCATGTACCCACTGGGGGTTTTGGAACGTGCCCCTTGCAGATGAGGGGGGAACAACTGTAACCGGCATTGTCTGCCCCGCCAACACCATGATTAGATGGTTCCTTACACAGTGTCTCACTGTTAACATGATTTTTTTTGTAGAGAAATGTAAAGTCGCTTTAAAAAAAGGACTATAAAAGAAGTGTATGATTATAAAAGAAAGGCGACATGTTAAAAAGTCCCAAGCTGCACACAAACGCTGTGCGGGAACCCTAGGTCCTGTGCCCTCCCACCCCACCCCCCAGCCACTCCTGGGGGTCCCCGGAGGTGTGAGTTGGGTCCATGAAGGGCTGCCTTTGCCCCAAGCAACTCCAGAGACCTACTTGGGTTTTGAAAAATTACATTCATTGTATTAAAATTGCAGATCAGAAAAGTTCGTTCTTCAGCTTTTTCAGTTCAGCCCAAATGCTATTCTTTTCATAAATTTAGCAAATTTTCTCACTTTCTAATGAAACTTTGTTTCTACTTGAAAACTTAATGAAATGCCTTACGATATCTGAAATAGCAATTGCACATTTTTCTGTTCCTTTTCCTTTTCTAAGTACTCCAGTTTTCCAACCAACTGTGGCCAAGAAGCTGTAAGGAGACTGCAAACTTCTTTCTCTTGCGCCTCTCCTTAATGGACACCTTTCACAAAGCCGTGTAGCCCAGGTTCTCCTTTGTCATCCTGTCTGTCACTGGGAGTCTGAATATGTACATGGGCAACGGCCAGACCATATAGAAAAATAAAACTCTGAGCCACAACCTGTAGCAACCATACCAGGAAACCAACCCCTTGCCTACAACAATCAGACCAGGGAGACAGCCCAGACTTACAGGAAGTCAGACTGTTCTATCTTCAGTGACAGTCAAGGAAGCCAAACAACCGGAGACAAGCAGGCCCCGAATGGCCAGGGCCGGATTAGTACCGACCACGTTCCTAATTTTTATCCCCACTTCAACTTCAGACCAAGCAGAGATCACCAAGTGGGCCTCCCTAAACAGTTCCACAGGACACGCCACCTGGAGGCAGCCCACCCACACCTTCCCCATGCCCACCCCTCCCATCAGGACGCTGTCCCTTTCCCACTGTAAAGCTTTCCTGCTTTTATTTCTGCCGTTGAGTCTCTGCCAAAAGGCGATTGATGGTGGCTGAGTCTGTTGCTATAGGGAGCTCGAAATAAATAGCCTTTGGTTGTTCTCATTTGTTGGTCTTCACTTATTTCACATTACTGTCTGATACAAGGTGGAGGGGGGTTGCTGGGCCGGTAGGGCAAACATTGAGAATTGGTAACTCTGGCACACGAATCTTCTGGAAGCATAGAGTGGACCATCAGGAGAGAAGCTGTGAACTTAAGAGTTTGGCCTTTGATAGGCAATGGAAAACCTGTGAAAGATGTCAGAAGGGAAAACTGGAAGCAAGAATCTTGTCTTGGTCCCTGGTGAAGATTCATTTCCCTTCTGCCTAAACTCTTGTTCCTCTAAGATGTTCGGAAGGTGCCTGGACACCTTCAGAGTCAAGAAAGAGTTTGACTCAGTTCTCAGACAGGGAGGCTGCTTCCCAACGTGCCCGAGGCAAGTGGTTTGCCTCACTTTGGACCCTTCTCACTGCCCAGGGCATTCAAGCATAAATTGGAGGGGAAGCAATCCTGGGATAACCAGCTGTGGCTGTGACCGTGATCCTTTCACTTTATTTGGGGAAATGTTTTCCTTTACATATGAAGCAGAAGATTTTGCAAATGTTCTTTAAAAAAGAACAAGCACTTCCATTTCCTAGCTTGCCCCATTTCCTTAAACTGTTCAGCACATGGGATCTTTTGCAATGCTGGAGTGATCTGATTTTATTTTTGTCACTGAACCTATTCGCAGCAACCTCCCCCTGACCTGTCACCAAAGCCCTGGCCCTACAGTTCGTTTTTCATTCACTCATCTGGGTTGACCACGCCTAGTTCTTGCAGTTAGAACCAGTGCACACGAGAACTCTGACCTGAGTAGACCGTGATCCCTAACATTGTTCAGCGTGGATATGCATGTTTACGGTTCCAAAGTACCCTGCCCTCTGCCTCCTCTTCCCTCAGTGTCGCTCGTGGCGGTGCAGGGGGATGCACCTCTATGACCAACAAGAAAACCACAGAGCAGTTTACAGGGTGGACCTCGCCACGGGGCCCTTTCACTTCTACTTTGTTTTTGAATAGACAAATCAAATTTTACCTTCAAGTGTGTGGTTCCTCTGGCACAATCGGTGTCTGCCAGCTCAGTGCTCTGGCTTCGAAATGAAAGTGATAGACCAGCCCTGTCTTAGAGACTGGCTAGAAAAGGGAGGTGAGAAGCAGTGTAGAGTCCAGGGGAAGAGACAATCAGAAAGAAGAACAAATCTCTCAGCAGGCTCAGCAAGGAGTGGGAAGTTCCGGGTCCCTCATTGCTGCTGTGAACTGTAACTACCGAAGCGTGCTTCATGTTGGTTGCACCCAAAAATACCTAAAAGCAAACAAACACTGTACGGAGCAGTCCCAGGAATTTGTCTCAGCTGCCCCTTTCATGGGTGGCAGTGGGTCTCCTATGGCCCCCGGAGCCCCACTAAAGCCCAGAGGGAGCCGTCGTGCTAATGCTCACCCTTCACTAATAATGAGGCGGGGCAATGCATTTTGGGGACTCCCTTTGCAAGGATACAAGTCACTTCATTACCTTTATTGTTTTAATCTAGGAGATTGTGCTGAAAACCTTGAATAAAACTTTTCCCAGATAACATTCTTTTACATCACTGTTTGAAGCTCCGGCACCCAATCAATGGGAACTGTGTAACTTCAAATACTCGGTGGTGTCGCTCAACATGAGAAAAGGGACAGGCCCCTCCCTGGCTCTTTAGGGCTCTCTGCCTGGGTTTTCGGGGGGGGGGGGGAGAACCCCTGAGCAGCCCTTTGCAGGTGTGAGCCACGATAATACCATAGTATCACTGTTTTCCAAACCTTGTCCTGATTAACATCTCCATTCACTCATGGCCACCCAATTACTTAATATTCGTATTCCTGCTTTCCACCACCTGTTGCACCTAAAGGTAAGAAAGAGCTCACCAGTGTGACACTCACAGGCCACAGCGGATGCCCCAGCCCAGAGATGCCTCCTGGGTGACTAGTCTGGTACAAACACCTCTTTTCTTCAGCCCTCCACTTTCTCAGGAATGGTCTGACCATGCTGCACCATCCCAACTAATTCAAATCTTTATACTCTGTGAACTGCACCTGGAGCCAATGCGCTCCACCTCCCTCCCCGCCATCCTATATATTGTAAGTCATGAGAGGAAAGGAACAGAAACTTTGCCTGGGGTACAGAGTGAGGGTTTTAATCTATTTACCTAAGTATCTCAAGACAGTTGGCCTCACCAAAAATGTATTCTGTTTTGATTAGAGTCAACAGGTACATTTAGAATATAACAAAGTCACTGAAAACAATGACGGCAGTGTTTGGATAGAAGACAGTGTTGATAATGATTTTACTGGAATTCCAAGCAGTCTGCCTGGAG